ACCATGCTTACCTTCTACTACATCGAGCAATGGCGCTACTACCACCCACACTCATTCCCAACATTGAACCTACTCCTCTTCCCAGTACAGACGTATGGAATCAACCTGATGGGCTACGACCACATTATTCGGACCAGACCAATGCCTTCATTGACAATGCCCCCATCCCATCGCCGGATCTGGAGGAGGAAGAGACACTTATGGATGAACTGGTGGAAACCCATCTCCCTGAGCCACACCAACATGTTGCTGCTCCGCCTCCTGATGTTTTACCTGCACCTTCGAAGCTTTCTACTAGAACACCATCACCGCCAAGTCGCAAACAGAAAGCCAAATCCGCTCCAAAGGCTCCTGCCAAGCGTCGTCGCCGACGTGACCAATCCCGATCCCGCTCCTCGAGCCCACTGTCACTCTGGACCTCTGAAGACAAACAGAAACTACGCACTCTGAAGGCTGATGAGAAATCTCGATTTTCATGGAAGGTGATCTCGACCAAGATGGGCAAGTCTGAAGAAGATGTTCGCTCTATGTGGAATAAGATCAAAGACCAACTTGGCTGACCACTGACATATGCGAACCAAAAGAAAAAGGTACGTTGCGGTACGGTATTACTGTTTCACCAACCATTTGGTCTTCCTTTTGGGAATTTTTCTTCTTGTTAATCTTCAGAACCATGGGCGCTGTTGTCCCATTGAATTCTGACACGTCGTATCACACAACCCGCCAGCCATTTATTATGTCTCTCCGCGTTCACCTGGACCGCTATTGCCAACAGCGAGCTATGTCCCACGAGAGGATCTCACCTACACGACGCTCACGCTCTCCAACCAGGACTTCATCTTCCGCTATGGGCTCTACGTCAGTTCAGCACCCACCCAACCGGTCTTCGCCTCCGACACCTCACCGACCGGTTATTTTCCAGTTGGACCTGAAGCCGATGCAACAACTGGCCGTACGCAACCCCTATTACAACATCTTGACCCCCAAGGTCGCGGGCAACCTTCCTACGGCCACCTACGACAGCTTGTTCCAGACGTTCAAGGTGATCTACCCGGACTATGCTCGCAGTCATTTCGTTTCAGACCTCAAAACCGTAGTCACCGACACATTGCTACAACGCTGGTCGATACACCTACCAGCGTCGGAGTTCTACATGATGATTGACACCGATCAAGGAGCTCAGATGCTTGACGACCTTCCTCATTCTCTTCTGGATGTTTTGAATTGGTTCTACCCGAGATGGAAAACTCATCAACATCTCGATGCCTTCACGACCCGTGAGTGTTCACCGTTGCTGCTGACACCCCATCCAGATGCACAAGACACCGGCTTTGCTGTACATGTTCAAGTGATTCCCCGTGGGCATCCATTCGTCACGGCCACCCGATACACTAAAGCCGCTGAGTGATTAGCTGTCTTGATGGATCTTGGCACGGCTCATGTCTATGAGAAAAAAGACCAACATTCGTTATGATGTCCACCATCCTGGTTCTGATTTTCCCTTGTGTCATCCTTTTCTCGTTTTCCATTGGGTGATATTCGTTATTTATTCCTTCATCATTGACCTTCCCCACGGCCTTTTGGCTTCAGTTCAGTATTTCTCGTTATCATACTCTTGTGATCGTACATGATGACCTCCAACACGGATGATCCTGCTCGATTGGTCTCGTACCGTTCACCACCTACATCCATACATGGCCTTGCCTCACACTTGCCACCTGATGATCCTACCTCGGCATCCTATATTCCTCGTGCAGCGAGAATGATTCCGACCTCTACCACTGTCCACTCCGTCTTCATCAAGAAGCTGAGCTATCCTTTGTCTAACCGTTCAGATGAACTTTGGATCGTGGAAAGGACACTTGATGGTCTTGAAACGTGGAAACCAGTGGAAACATTTCTGGAGAACATGCACCTCACCAACGACCAGGCGACCCTGCGTACTACAGCTAACCATTGGCGCAGATACTATGACGTACCAATTCAATCATCATCCTCCTCCTCTACGGCAACTACTGTTCCCGTTTTACCACACCCTGAACACTCCAACGTCTATGTCTCACAGCCGTACGAAGCGATACCGGACCACCTCCATATTTTACAGTCATGCTGGGGACGCTCTGCCCAACACCATTCTCAAGGAACTACTACCTCTTTATATTGGCCACCTTGGCGGTCTACACCACCTTCTTCCCCACCGGCAACACTACAACGTACTGTACATCTCACTCGCCCCGCTGTCCCTCCTCAACAATTGCATGGTCCGCTGGATGCGAACGATATTGACCCGATGGATATGTCGGACTCAAGTGTGTAATATACCACATTATTTGTCGGCAGGAAAAAGACCTGTGATTCATCGTCTCTTTGTGTGACCATTTACTAGGTACACCGTTTCTCTTCCATTTCCAACACTTTGAGCTTGTTTCTGTGGCCATTCCAACCCATTTTGCAGCTTGGGCTTTTCGCTTTATCCTCGATACTTCACATTCGACGCAATGGCTCGTTCTTCTCGACCCAATCCATATCGCGCTACATCCACGATTGAGACACCGCTTGGTACACGAACCGTTGGATGGATTGCTGGACATCGAGGCCTTCCTGGTGATGCGAACCCTCCTCCAAACAGACCTGTCCTTATCTTGGTTGACTTCTCTCCCCTACAGGCATTGACTCACCGAAGCGAACCTGACCGTGAACACTACATGGCTCTGGTGAACTCCAATTTTAGACATGTCAGTGGCTTTGAACTTGCAGCTTTGTTTACCTGGTCACGTCAGATGGAACCAGTTGAAGCTGGCCTCATCCCAATTGCCGAACTTCGCTTCTGTATTTCCAAAAGATTGAGGTCCCAATGGGACATCCAAATTGATCCCTCGAATCTGGAGTTTGGCTTTTGCGACCTGGACGGTGATACATTCCAAGTTTCCAATGATATGACGGTCTTGCAGCTTTTGGAGGCATACCGACCTGAATGGCGACTTCGGCAGTACAACTCCCGCGAATCTTCGTTCCTCATTCCGGGTACCAGACAGCCTTTCGTACTACGTTTGCAATGCTACAAAATTAGCTCCGGTGTGATCCTGCCCTGATACGCTAGCCGGCCAAAAAAGACCATGCTTCAGGGTTTTCAATTCTTCCTTGACACCCCACTAACACAAAGGATTCTTCGATTTCTATTTTATTCGACTTTGAGCTGTGGCTTCTCCGTCGCAATTGACCCACTTGATTGAGGACTGGATTTCACTTTTATCATTTTTGTGAATATTATCATTTTCGGGATTGGCTTTTTTCTGCAATTCTTGATGCTTCAGCCGTTGTTGCACTATTTCTCGCATTTGTGACAGTTCCACCCATGGAACACAAACGAGACGCGACCGTGGCGGGCTTGTCTTGGCCTTCGAATCCTACCCGTGGACTCGCTCCTACCAATCCAGTTCAAGTACCCGACGCCCAGACTTCTGCACTATGTCACTCAGGAGCTCCCGACACTACGACCAACCCTACGTCGGCACCTTTGGTAACTGACAGTACGGCACCTGCCACGGGTACTATGGCCCATCCTGATACATATTCAGGACCAGCACCTCCTTGCGTCCCGTTTCCAATGGAGTCAAGTTCTGCACACAACTACCTCCATCGTGCTCAATTCTCTTCTCGCGTGGTTCACCAGATCCAGTTCAAGGTCATTACCCACTCCAACAACACCAGGGAGCTTTTCATTGAAGAAATCCCCTTGCTAGGGCATTCCCGATGTCGTGACCCTGAACACTACTTTTATGGTCTTTCGGGCAACTGGGAGTGGTCCCTACGTACAGCGGACTATTGGCGACATCATTTCGAGATTCCCCTTGTACACGGACACCATCCTTTTCACAATGTGCCCATTGAGACGACATCTCCAGCAGACGAACCGAGCCTTACCACCCGGATCCATGAATTAGCCAAGGATCTTTCTGATACCTTGAAGGCTGCTACGGCATCTGGGGAATTCAATGAGACGTGGGCGATGGTTGAACGCATGAGCTTCCACGATGCTTTCGAAGTCCTTCTACAAGCTCCGAATTCTTCTTCTTCTGACTGAAGTGATCGCCCGTTTGTACATTCGGTTTTTACAGGTTCACTCTCACTGGTGTATTGCCGATTCCGCCAGCGAAGTTCTTCCAAAAAAATCCAACCTCGCTATATGCGAGGTGTGTGTGTGTACCATCTGAACAGATGTAAAACTTCTTATTGGTCTTCACTAGTTTGCAGGGGGCGACAGGGTCGCTGCATGGCTGTCGCCAACGAAGCTCCATGCAGTTGACTAGGATATGGAGTCTGATCAACTCCACGTACCTGCCTTTTTTCGGACATAGCAAGGGGCCAAGCTAAGAACCCCAACCACAATATTATACAATTTGCTGCACTGTTGTCGCAATCTGGAATCAATTTTGACATTTACATGCATCAGAACTTTCCTCAGATTTTCGCCGAAAACCACATCGCCGACAGTATTATGTTTTTTGATCTATTTTCGCCGAGATCATGTCGCCGACGAACTGTGGGTCCTTTTGGGAAACAATCGCCGAAACATTATTGTGGATTCTCAACATGCTGGTTAAAACTCTATGGAATCTGGTTATGACTTCGTTTGACAATATTGGATGCCCTACATCGTTTTCGTGAAGTACCTCATTTGGCTCCTTTACTAATCTAACGATCTAGGCTGGTTTGCATGTTTCAGGATTCAGTTCCTGCCGGATCATATAATGATCCATTCTTGTCTAGTGTGTGTGTGTGTGTGTTTTTTTTTTCCAAACATGTTCCGTGGCATCTTCTGTCCATGACACCAGCCCATGTGGATTTCCGCATTCACAAGTTCCCATAACTGACTTGGGATGAGGGAACATTCACAGAACTTTCTCCATTGTTTGGATGGTAAAAGCCGGTAAAACTTGGATACTCAAAGGATTTTCCCTGAAATCCAGTGACAAGAACCCGCTACCTGAGCCGCTCAGGCATTGTTAATGACGGCTTCTGAGCCGCATTTCATGCAAGCGCAACTTCATCTGAAGGAGGCGCATTTGCGCAGCATTGGAGTTGCCGCCAGGAAAAACTGAGATTGGAGATGGGTCAATACCCATGGACCAGTGGGTAGTGAGAATCTACCAGGGTCTTGATCTACAACCAAATCAGACCACATAATTCGCTCAAGTTTCAGATTTCAAAATGACGACGACAATGATGATAATTGTATATAATTGTGACGATGGTGCTGATGTTCTGAATTTTGGCACCAATTTCTTAGTTTATATATATATATTTATAACTCCAATAACTATGGTTTATGATACTTATAACTATAGTTCATGGGGTTTAGACTTCTCCAGTCTCCAGTCATGGTGTTACCCTAAGCCTGCCCTGGAAGGCGGCGCAACTGGCACCTGCGTCTCAAGCAGTGCGAATTACACTGTCAGGGGGCCTGATGCGGCTTGACAATGATTGACATAATTATCCATAAGATCCATTAAGATATTGATATAGGAATATATAAGAATTGCCAATTATCTCATGATCCATAAGATCCATTAGATTGACATAAGTTATTACAGGATGGGAATGAGACTTGCCAACTCCATCCATGCCCCCCCTAAAAGGCGGCCCATCCCAATAATGATCAAGTTGATATGCCCGGCGAGTACAACTACTGTTGGTTGATGAGACCTTAGCAAAACAGTATCATCCAGTTATATAATAGTTATAACAGATGGTTAAATATCCATATGCACATGTAGTGACATGTATCATATGTATATATCTATGTATAATTATGTATATACATATATATATATATATATATATCTATGTCTATATATATATATAGATGCATTAATCCCTCAGAAAAATTGGAGGTTGATTTGCTCCGCGGCCGTGGCCTTGAGCGGCAAGAATCGCGATCGCAAGAAAGCACTGAGCGATGGCCTCAGGCGGTAGACGGGGGACTCTCATTTTGAGGACTTCAGTTGTGTGTCCCCGTTGCTACAATTAACATCAATCAACCATGGTACAGTACTTAACTATGGTACATGATGGTACATTAACATCACTTAACTGTGGTACTCTCCCTTTCAGATGATGCAAAAATCACTGGTTTTTCTGCAGCCTTTCTGAGGTTTGCTGGATCGTGCTCTTGCCGCTTTGGAGGACCGGGATTTGGTCACGGAACGAGTGGGTGGTTCATTGTTGTTTCAAACATCTGGGTGCACATCTGTGAACGACCAGGGAAGGCCCTATTTTTGACCATTTCCCAAAGGGGGATGTGCGATGACCACTTTTCCAGGGCGAGCAACGAGAACCTGAAGGCTCAAGGGGGATTGAGTGGATTTGGGAGAGGCAAAAAGTGGATCACCAAGACCTAAGACGATCTCGAATCACTTGATTTGACTGAGACCATTTTTTTTCGGTGGTTCACAACGTGAACTTGGCCTGTTCCAGTCATATTCAACTGTTCGATCTTCAGCGTGCCCGCATTTTGACGAAATGCAATGAGTGTCCACACGTTTCTTACAGAAATCATGGCGCTTACCAGACAAACATCGCAGCTCTTCCTGTAGAGTTTGGATTCGCTTCCCCAGCATGGTTGCGATCAGCCACCATTCATGTTGTTTGCGATGCGCAGGTTTTTGAGGCCAAAAAAAGCAGTTTTTGTCGGCCACATGACTCGCATCCTTTGCTCATGATAGACACAGCCAAGGTGAAGGTTCAGTTAAGTCACTCCTGTAAATCCTAAATTCATGTGGGTTGAACTCTCCCATTCTCAAATCTAAAAATTGTACAACATTTAACACATAATATATCATAATATATCATAATATATCATAATATATCATAATATCATCTAAGTCTTAATATTGGGTATATCCCATTATGTTATCCCATTTAACACGTTGTTTAATTCCCATTCTCATTTGTCAGAATCCTCCGTTTCTTGTTGCCTCCGTGTCAGCCCCTTTGCTCAGGCTCCCGTACGGCTCACGCAAGCTTGGGCCACGTGGCGCCTCGGCCGCAGTTTGAGAGACATCTGGGGAACATGTCCAATGTATGGGATTTCATAGTGATTTAGTGGGATTTCCATGGGGATTTTCTGGTGATTTTTTGATGGAATTTAACTATCAAAAAATGGGGATATTAATGGGAAATAGCTTCAGGTAATCAGCCAACATGGCTGGAGAATTGTCCGCGGAGGTTTGTTCTCTGGGAAAAAATTCATCACGACCTCACGTCGCGACCGAGCCCTGGGAATGATGGTTGGTAGGGGTAACTATCCCCAAATGACCGCAAATTTCAGGTTTGTGAATCATTATAATTTACCCTGTATATATATATATATTTATACACACTGAAGTTGGGGTGCCTTACTTTCAGAGCAACCCAGGTGTTTTTTCCATGACAATCTTTGTCGATCAAATCTCCCATGATCTCGGCATGATAAAAACCCCTTTTGGAAAACTCCGGAACGGGCGCATGCCGAGATGATGAGACAGTTGATGATTAAATATATGTTTTCCATCGACTGAAACTATGAGATATGTATATTTTCTATTATTTTCTTGTAATACATACATACTTATATTTGCATCAAAAGCACATCCTCCAATTGATAGCAAATATTGAAATTTTCAATGATAGATTATTTTCCCTTTTTTCGCTTCCCCCGGTTCATATCAAACACCCCCCAGAAACCATGGTTGTTTGTAGGGGAGAACACATATTTCGCACCATTTATGTGGTGTTTTTAATATTAGGGTGATGGGGTTGGTAAAGTTTACCATCCCATTCCACATTGGACATCCATATTTTCTAGTCTATCCGTAAAAATCTCTATGAAATCCCCATTAAAAATGTTCATTAGATCCCATTAAATCCCATGGAAATCTCATGTTCCCGGGATTTTCCCCATGGTTTTCTCCGGATTTTCCCCACATCCCATGGCATCCCATGGAGCCTTAGTAACTTAGGCGGGCAGCGGCGGCGCCGCCGCGGCCATGCTGTCGGCACGGAGTCGGAGTGCTGAAGAGGCATCACTAAGGTGGTTACCCTCTGGTTATGTCAAAATAGCTATGGAAAATCACCATTTTTATCCATTTTCAATGGGAAAACTCACTATTTCTGTGGCCATTTTCAATAGCTATGTTAGTTTACCAGGGGGTAAAACAATGTCATAAACCACCCATGACTGGGAATGGTTAGCCAAGTTGGTGAACATAACTATAATAACAATAGTGTATGATACAATAAACTGGTTGGTTTCAAACAGGAATGGATTATTTTCCATTTCATATATGGGATGTCATCCTTCCCATTGACTTTCATATTTTTCAAGATGGTTAAAACCACCAACCAGTAAATCACCATAAATAGGTTGGATTTCAACCATTCCCAGTCATGGCTGGTTTATGACATTGTTTTAACCACATGATATCTAATATTCGTTATACATCACTCATAGCTAATATCACTCATATTCGTTGCACTAATATCACTTTTTTTGTCACTAATATTCACAGAAGATTCACTAATCAAAACATGTTTTATTTGCAGAAGCTTGCTAGCGGAAGCGCTGAAGTCTGTCTTGCTAAAGAGCAAGGTATTGGTGGGGCCTGGAATCGCCAATCGACGATCGAACGACACTTCACAGTTACATAACTAATGTTAGCTCCTCCCCCTCACCTGGCTTTTTTGGAAGCAGGTGTGCTGTGGCTCGGCTCAATCCCCGTTGCAATCAGCATCATCAGCATCATCATCATCAGCATCATCAGACTTACTCTCCACTTCGTACCTCCCAATTCCTCACACACCGCTCTTTCACCACACCTTCCTCCTCCTCCCTTTGCCTTTCCAGCTAGCTTTCGTCCCTTACTGTAGCCCTTCCCGTCAAGTGATGATGAGCATTGGAATGGGGTATATAGTGAGAAACTATCCGGGTTTTGATCCACTAGTCAGACCAAATCAGGCCAAATCATTCGCTCAAATTTCTGATGATGATGATGATGATGATGATGATAATGTCGATACATGTCAATGTTATTATTGTTTATATGTAATTGTTATTGTTATAAATCTATGAATATTCCCAAGGCCATCATGAATGGGTCAAGATCTTCCGAATGGACCAGTTTGAATCATTTCTTTTAACACAATTTTGGGCGCGGCATGAAAAAACAAGTTTGGTTCCCGGTTTCCATTTTTTCGAAGAGGCGCGGTGGCTGGCTGCTCGCACCTTGGTGAAGCGGGAGACCCCAGTCGGGTGCATGACAAAAGCATCTTGGGAGATCTGAGATGGGTGTCTCGCAAGTTGTTTTTTTTCTACCCTCTGGTTATGACTAACATAGCCATGGTATAGGTGGCACATAGAAATAGATGATTTTCCCAGCTAGAAACCTCCATTTATGGTTGGGATTTTCCATGGCTATGTTAAATAACCAGATGGTAAATATTTTTTCTGGCTGGTTTCCAAAAAAAAAGAAGGATGTTTCAACAGGATGGGTATCCCACATTCTAAACCAAAAATGTTGAAACATGTTGAAACCATCCGACCGTTTTTTTGGAAAATACATTTTTAAGAATGTGACATGCTTTGATTGCGAATGCACTGAATGCACCAAGTGGATTTCGAATTTAAGCTGTGAACGTGTAATTCAAGCTATCTGATCAAAGGACTTCTGCGATTTTGATTGCACTATTTTTGACAAGCCTGTCTTGAATCCCTCTCAGATACTTTAGAGTTCAAACATGTTTGGTGAACATGTATATATAAATACTGGTTGGTGGTTTGGAACATTTTTTATTTTTCCATATATATATATAATATATATAATATATATAATATATATAATATATAATATATATATATATATTGAGAATAATCATCCCAACTGACTAATATTTTTCAGAGGGGTTCAAACCACCAACCAGAATATGTATAATTGCCAAATTGTTCTTTGCAAAGAGGTGAAAGTCCCCCTCATAGCCTGGATGACCAAGGAGCCAACAGGCCATGGCGAAAGGTGATGATTTGGAACAAGCTCTTCAGTGTCGTTGGAATCTCAGACATAGATAGATAATCAGATAGATATCTTAAAATAGGGGATCCCCAAAACCATAGCTTTCAGTAGTATCTTAAATTTTGGATGACATTTAAGGGTACCCCCCCATTGACTTCGGACACGGCTTTATTGTGACGCCGTGGCCAGGTAGCTTCCTGCAACTGGTTGCAAGGGAGCCCCAACAACGCGCTGCCGCAGTGCGCTGTCACCATTGTCACCTCGGAGAGGAATCCATGATTGGATCATAGTAAACTAACAGTTTCTATTGAAAATTGTGATTTAGTTCGTGGATTTACCCATGAAAAATGGTGATTTTTTCCATTGTTAGGTTCAATGTATTTTCATATGTTCATAGATGTGAACATCTAGGTTCATGATTTTTGTTCACAATTCTTCACATATTTCACAATACACATTCACACATAGTTTGTTTTGATATTTTGGTGCTTCCAACATCGTTGCAGGTACCTTCCTTGCTCTTCCAACTGCGCGTGACCGCTTTGTGTGACCTTTGCCGCTGGGAAGAGGTGCGAGCGCCAGTTTGACGGCTTTCCTTCTGCCAATACTGAGATGTCAGAAGTCTTCCACTGCTTTGCTGGGCTTGGCTGCGAAAAGGAGCCGCCTCATCAGTGACCCGGCAGCAGGGCATTTGGCTCAAAACTTGGACTTTGGAAGGTCTGTAATACTTGCTGCGCAGAATCTGACCCAGCGCTGACATGTTCGCTTCATTCCTTCGATCGACAGTACTTTTGGGGCTTTGTGCCACATTCAAGGCTGATCCTACAGCCTGTGAGACTGCTTTCTTCAACTTGGTGAGTGAAGATGCCTGCGGAAATGAGAATGGGCCAGACGCATCTTCTGCATGCAGTGCAACTTGCAAGCCTTTGGCTTGTTCAGTGGTGAGCTCCTGCATCGATGGCTCCAGCATTGCCTATGCAGATGATAAAGGCCCAGCCTCAATTTCAGCTGAAGAAGTGCGGAGCATTGTCAAGGAGCTTGAGTCTGAACACACCAACTGCCCCTGCAGCCCAACCAAACGCTCGAATCTGACCAAGGCGTTTCAGACCATGAGAAAGAGCGCCAAGAAGGATCCAGTGTCTTTGAGGGGCAACGTGGCAGACAGGACCCAAGAACCAGCTGCAACCGCCTGTGAGACTGCTTTCTTCAACTTGGTGAGTGAAGATGCCTGCGGAAATGAGAATGGGCCAGACGCATCTTCTGCATGCAGTGCAACTTGCAAGCCGTTGGCTTGTTCAGTGGTGAGCTCCTGCATCGATGGCTCCAGCATTGCCTATGCAGATGATAAAGGCCCAGCCTCAATTTCAGCTGAAGAAGTGCGGAGCATTGTCAAGGAGCTTGAGTCTGAACACACCAACTGCCCCTGCAGCCCAACCAAACGCTCGAATCTGACCAAGGCGTTTCAGACCATGAGAAAGAGCGCCAAGAAGGATCCAGTGTCTTTGAGGGGCAACGTGGCAGACAGGACCCAAGAACCAGCTGCAACCGCCTGTGAGACTGCTTTCTTCAACTTGGTGAGTGAAGATGCCTGCGGAAATGAGAATGGGCCAGACGCACCTTCTGCATGCAGTGCAACTTGCAAGCCGTTGGCTTGTTCAGTGGTGAGCTCCTGCATCGATGGCTCCAGCATTGCCTATGCAGATGATAAAGGCCCAGCCTCAATTTCAGCTGAAGAAGTGCGGAGCATTGTCAAGGAGCTTGAGTCTGAACACACCAACTGCCCCTGCAGCCCAACCAAACGCTCGAATCTGACCAAGGCGTTTCAGACCATGAGAAAGAGCGCCAAGAAGGATCCAGTGTCTTTGAGGGGCAACGTGGCAGACAGGACCCAAGAACCAGCTGCAACCGCCTGTGAGACTGCTTTCTTCAACTTGGTGAGTGAAGATGCCTGCGGAAATGAGAATGGGCCAGACGCATCTTCTGCATGCAGTGCAACTTGCAAGCCTTTGGCTTGTTCAGTGGTGAGCTCCTGCATCGATGGCTCCAGCATTGCCTATGCAGATGAGAAAGGTCCAGCCTCAATTTCAGCTGAAGAAGTCAAGGAGTTGGTTGCTGAACTTCGTTCGGAGCACAAGAGCTGTGCTTGTTGATGAGTAGAGTGCCGGTCAGATAGCAGCTTTGTCTTTTGCCAGCAGCCCGTTTAGTTTTGAGAGCCAGTGAAGAGCTCCGTGGTAGCTAGGCTGTACAGTTGCAGGCCATCAGATACTGTAAAGACTTATTGTTGGCCAATTCAGGCATGTGTTCAACGTCATTCAGAACCCGGATTGTCTGGACTGAAGAGTCAAGAATTTCAAGAAAAAAAAATCAAAATCTGAAGTCGTCGACCCTGACCCGCAACTTTACCCTTAAACAAAGATTAGGATAGATTAGGTCTCATGGGCAGCGAATCTTTCAAGGATCATCAGCAGTCAGCAACATGGTTCCCTGCAAACGGCGAAGCCTCCAGGCTGTATCAGATTGCCGACACGCTCTGATTGTCGTGGGGCGGCCCACTCCGCTGCTTTTGAACATCGCGGCAGAAAGCGGTATGGTCGTCATGTAGCAATCGGTATCCAATGGGGAACGGACGGGGCAACCGAAAAAGCCTGTTGTCATGAAAACGTGGCGTGTGTTTGTTGAAAAGCGTCTGATCTGATATCGAAAAAATCACTTCGCTCTGTCCAAAAAACAAAGGGATAGCTCGAGGAAGGTAGTTTCCCTGCTGTTCAAACACGCCACTTTTCCGCCCAAAGTGTTGGACACTTGATATTGTTTCTTGACAACTATGTTGGGCTGATATCCCCATCCTGACTGATCAAGGCCTTCCACTTTACTCTCCCATTCAGAATGGGTTGAGTCCACATTTTTGCCATTTTTGATGGACTCGACTTTTTCATTTTCAGCAAAAAATCGTAAATCCATGTAAATCCACAATTTTATTGGGGTTTCCATGTAAATCCATGATTTTTATTGGGGTTGAGTCCACAGTTTCCACAGGTTTCCACAGGTTTCTTCAGTTTTTTGGAGGCTAAAAATCTCAGCGCATAGCTCGCATCGCTGAGGACCCTGGAGATGAAGGTATCCAGTTCACCATGCACGTCGCCTGGGATCCGTGGCGGAGAAAGAAGATGTGCGATAAATATGGATGATATATGATGATAAAATAGGTTTATGTGTGATATAATATATATATAATATATATATGATTTTATGGATGATCATCATGGGATAATTATCATGGGACCATGAGTTTCATATTCATGGATGATTCTTAATTATATGGATGATATATGGGTGATGGTTCATTCTGACCATTCTCGGCAGCGCTGCGGAAGAGCCTCTGGCGCTGTAACTGTACTCTGGCGCTGTAACTGCCTAGGGGAGCGTTTCATGTGGCTGACAACGAAGGTTGACACAGTTTGTGACACAGTTTTTTTTTCTGCATGGCTGACTCGTGACGTCTTTGCACACGTTTCAGTTTCCCTTCTGGAAGGTCTCAGCCGGCATTCTCAAGTTTCAGGATTTGAAGTTTGAGGCCTCCGAGACGGCATGCCCTTAGTCCTGCTCAAATGTTGCATGAAATTAGCATCAAATGATTAGCAGGGTTGTGATTCCGTTGCATACTCTCAATGACTTACGAATACATCGGCGAATACATGATGTACAAGTCATGATTGCAGCACTATTTGTTTTTTTTGGGAACCAGAGCTTGACCTATCTCTTGGTGAGGGGTGAGATCTGAGCATTCCTGGAATTCCACCAGGAAAGTATCCCCATAAGCAGTGGGAGTACAGCCAATATATACTGTAGCCATTGTCACCATCAAGGCCTTGTCTTCCAGGCGGCCAAAGTCTGGGTATACAATGGATGACGAGGAAAACCGCGGATTTCACCAACACAACTCTCTTAAGACATTATAAAACCAATGTATAACACCTGATTTTCAAGACCCCATTTCGGATGATTTATTTCGGATTTACCCTTTGGTAAACTAACATGCCTATGGAAAATCACGAAATAAATGGCCATTTTCAATAGCCAACTATTGATTTACCTATGAAAGATGGTGATTTTTCATAGTTTTTTGTATCTTTACCAGAGGGTAGTTCCAAACTGATCCTCCAAGTTGTGCCCCTTCTGGGCTGCTGAGAGGCCTCCATTGGTTGCTTCACCAAAGCCATACGCCTGCAGCCGGTGAATGTCCAGGTTGGGGCACCTGTGTACCACTGCTATTGATTGTTAGTCATTACTATGATCTATTATTGTCTAAATCATGTTATGTAATATATATATATTTACATATATATAGTTACGTATATGTATATATTTACATATATGTATATATATATATACGTAACTATATATTTTATATGTATTCACACACTCACACATGTATATATATATTCATATATATATATATATACGTAACTATATATATATATGTCTATCTATAGTGTTATACTATTACCATTAAGATGATAAACATTCGGATGATATCTAGATTAAACTATCATTATACTGTTCATTTGATATATAATCATTATACCATTATCAACATTCTATGTTATACGGTTGTAGTTATCAACATTACATCATCATTTTATACTATGGCATACGAGTGCAATGTACATATATATATATATACACACTATTGCTGATACTGATAGTAATGTTATTCGTGATAGATATTTTTGTCATACATATCTATATTCATTATGAACACATATATATATATATATACATACTATATACACGTCTAATTCATTATGAACATATATATATATATATATATGTTATTCTTATGAACATTCAGATGTTCTCAGGCGCGACTACATCGAGCCATTGCCCTGGCATGCGCGGCATGGGCACGGGGCATGGAGGCGCACCGCTTGGAGTTCACCAATGGAAGGATTTTGATTGGGATATAGAGGGACATAACGAATGATTATATATATATACACATGTATAATGCATATATATATATATGTATATATATATGTATATATATATATGTATATATATATATGTATATATATATATCATATAAATCACACAAAATATATATGTATATGTATATATATATAATATGACATATCACATACATATAATAACATGTATATATATATATATCTATACATGATATGACATATACTATATACACGGCAAAAGCTAAACGCTAACAAGTTGACGCACATAACTTGGCCTCACCTTACATCATCCCATGGCTAGGGCCAAAAACCGAAGAATAAACCCCAATGGGGGATGGTTTTTTATTGGGGTTACCTCAGTAATCACGTAATCACCACTATTATCCCATCATTGACCATTATGACACCTCATTAAAGATATGATTCTCATTGAGTTCATGGTGGTGCAAACCTCAACCGGAGCTGAACCGTTCATGGTGCACCTCTAGCCGCCCTCCCAGGGCTCCACTCAAGAGACGGCCCGTGTGGTGCAGCTCTTGACCGATTCCGTGCAAGACTTGGAAGCCGTGGAACAACAGGCAGGGGCCAAGGGGTACCAGGTTGATGCCGGTGCCATGGGCGCCTTAACGGCCCAAAAGGGGTTGGAACATGGAGAATCCTGGGGGGTGGTAGCATGATCTTAATGAAACCTTTGAGTTTTGGATAATTTTGCACAATTTCGGATGATCTTAGATTTACATTTTTGGAACGGGAGTAACACGGTTTCCAATTTTCAGATTTGACACCCGAAAGTTGGAGTAATGGGTCATAATAGGTCCAACTATCCACATTTGGGATGACTGGATGACCAGTGACTCATCGGGAACACATGACGTTTCTGAAAACAATTGGAAGGTGGGTTTCCCAGCTTGGTCAAATGGTCAAATCCCCAATTTTGGTTGCTGAAATCCCCAATGTTTTCGTTGCTCAAATCCGGCTAAGTCCTATGAAAACATTCAATTTTTTGGTTGGCAACATTTCATGTTTATGGTTTAAATATGTTTAAATCCAAGTTCAATCCTCAAAAAATCCAGTTCTCAATTCTCTAGGATTACAGTTCCCCAAGTTTTTCTGGTCAACTCCCCAATTTCAGTGACCCTTCCCCCGTCTTCGTTTAGGCCATGATCACGGGTGTCATGGCGCCGCTGGGTGCGGCGCACCTGCGGGCGGCGTGCCTCTGCAGCCTGGGACGCCTCCATGATGCCTGGGAGGCTCTCTGTGAAAGCGGCCGCCGCTGCGCCGGGCGCCGGTCGAGCTTGGAAGGCTGGGGGCCGGATGGGGGCCGGTCCCCAGTGATGGGTGGGAATCCCAGCCCCATGGTCCAATGGTACTCCCAGTAATGAAAGTCCGTTTTGATTTTTTGTCGCGTCCAGGTCTAAGTTTTGGGAAAGGCAGTGCGTGCTGCGTCCCAGTCTGCTCCTACATGCTAGATTACTGCTCAACTGCTTCAAGGCTGCTTCTGGACTAGGGTGCTGCTGCGCTAAAAATGCTGCCAGACTGCTGGACCGCTCCGATATGATTCAACCTTCAGATTCAGATTGTATTTTCCAGGCTTAGATTCCCTGGCCACGTCAGTGGGGGCAGAAGGAACTTGATGAAGTGAAAACGGAAAGATGCGCGGCAGCGCTTGGTGACTCATGATCTCAATAGGAACTAGAAGATGTTTAGGCGTAGATGGCTATAGTGACAAGGTCTAGTTCCTGACAATCGGCTAAACTTTAACCTTTGGATGACGCTACCACATGGTGATTTCACACTTTAAAATCTTTAAACGAGAAGTTGTTGCACCGACTTCTTCGACTTTCTGAATGCGCGGCGTCCCATGCGGTTTTGTCATCCCAGCCGATGCATTGATTTTCATGTTTGGGGGTCTTTTAAGTGGCGGATTTGTCATATTTCTCCACATCTTTGGGATCTTTTGGGACCATGGGATGTTCAATATTACCTGGTTATACCTGGTTGGTGGTTTGGAACCATGGAATCTTATATTTATATATATATATATTATTTTTCCATATCTTGGGAATGTCTCCCAACTGACTTTCACTCCATCATTTTTCAGAGGGGTAGGTCAACCACCAACCAGTTACGATGATTTTTCGCCTCACGTTGGAGCTATAGGACCTGACCTCTCAGCACCGCGGCAGCGTGCCCTGGAGGCGCCCGTGGCAAGCATTGTTCGGTGTTTTTTGAGGTGAAGAAATGGGGGTTGTCTGAAATTTGCTCCCCCCCAAAAATGGTTGGCTTTCCATGTTTTTCATTGTTTTTCCATTAAAACAGGCCATGAAAATTGCCAAAGAACCGGCACGTACATCGATGGGATTCTGCAAGTTGAAAAGCTCCAAAGGTGGCAGCAGAGCAGCCGCGTCCAGGCGGAACTGCTGGTGTTGCTGGAGAGGCATTCGGAGGCCATTGAGGCGTGCTCCGCAGTGTTGGCGTTGAACAGCAGGCGGCCTGGGACCCTGGGATGGCCCTGATGGGATCAGGGATGGGTTGAGAGGGTACCTGGTCTTCTGTCACTTTCCACAAAAACACCAAACAAAAAAGAGACCAAACAAGGTGAGAGAGCGAAAGTAGCAAACAGACTAATCATGATAAATCTGTACCTCTCTCATTTGGAAGATGCGACTAATTGGCACGCCGTTGCCATTGTTTACTCGATTTGAAAACATCTGGCAGTGAATTTGGTACTCATAGGCCGCCCCTGGAGCGAAAGTGACGTAGCGTTTCGCTCCTAGATTCTACAGGATATTTGCAGCCTTCTTTGTCAATCTTGAAAGAAGGGGGTAATTGCTCAATATTTTCAGCTTGGTAAATTGAAATCTGCCAGATCTTAGGACTCCCTGAGCCCCTGAGCTGCCAGGGGTCATGCCGACGCACGCGTGATGCGCGCATGGTGTTTATCCGAGATTGGGGATGTCGATGCTGCTTTTGAGGCTGGGAAATGGCAGTCATCGAGCTGAAACAGCTGAAACTGTGGTTTCTGAAGCTGTAGACGTCTCTAGAAGAAGCTTCATTTTTTGTTGGCAAAAGGAGCTCCATTTTTGCGACAAAAAAATCATGTGCGCAACATCAGGACGTGGCGGCTGCGCTCGCCTTGGCTCCAGAACGAGCTGATTTGCAGGAGGCAGGATGGAATGAGTTGACGGAGGAAACCTTGGTCGACCAAGGTGAACAGGTCAGTACACTTCGGACATAAAAACTGCAACATGCCACTGGAAAGTATTTTGAAGTGCTGCTTCCCTCACAAACTTGCATTGATATTGTGTTTCGAGGTGTATGGGTGGATGATTGATCCCAACGAGTGGATTTTAGGACAGAGAGGATAAAAGAATAGTGAATAGTGACAATGGCGAAAGGTTTGCGTTGGAAGATGGATTGGATTGGATGATGAGCACCTTGATAGGCATGCTGGCTATTGGACAGAAGATTTGGTATTGGAATAATATCCAAACACCAGAAATTCAGAATCTACCAGTTAGCACCATATTATATGCTGATTCCAAAATCACGTTCATTTTATTTCCAGCATTTCTTTGATAAATAAATACACATAAATCTTCAGCAAATTTCGCCCAAAAAACACTAGCCCCAGTCCTAAGCTGACTAGTTAACTATATACACTGTTATATAATGTTATATAATGTTATATAATGTTATATATCCCACTATATCCCCATCAAAATCTAATTACAGCCAATCAAATCCCCAACATATCCATAATATATATATATACAGTATATATATATATACAGTACATATATATATAATTATATATATATATGGTCGCACCCCCCATGATCTACCTGCAACATCCTCCAATATAATCTTATGTCTCTCTGGGATGGTCCCAATGGGAACTTCCCGTCGCCACTTCCCAGGTCGAGGGCGATCTCTGTTTGCAATACGGCCGTCTGGCGGATGCCTTCAACGCCTTTGGCAAAGCCCTGAAATTGCGGGAACCTAGGACTGCCAGGCGGGCCGACCGAGGTTTCGCCAGGTCTCATCCAAGGTTTCCGATGATTTTTGTGGTTGAATCACTAATTTTTTGGATGTTGTTGGGAACCGTTCACCCAATAAACGTATAATATCATAATAACCATCTGAGAAGAGGCTAGTGAAAAAAGGGGTCATGTTGTTGCCATATATCATGGAATGCACAGGCACTAGCCAGAAAATAAGATTCTTTGCCAGCTACTTGAGACTGGCCATGTTTGGAGGTGTCAGAGGTTTTAGGATGTCTTGGAAAAACAGTAAAAGGGTGTGACTCAGCTTGGTGGAATTTGCTTTGAACACCACATCGTAACCCCGAAAAACATCTAAACGCTATTTATATCACTATGCTAGTACGATTTGACTGTTCTTTCATCAAACTAACTGGACCATGGTTTCCATAGCAATGTGTACTGGAGGGCATACCATCATATATCCTAATTGATCCCATCAAATCCCAAAATTTTTGTTGGTTTACCCGTTGACCCCCCAATTTGATAAGACTCCCATTCCTCCAAGCCGCACAGAGTGGCACTATGCGCGCAGGTTGGCCTTCAAAAGAGCGCCTCGGCTGCGATTTTTGGCCAACTCCAGCATTGCATGACGCAGTGGAAACCAAGCAGTGGAGGTTGATCATTGGGTGTACTGTACCGATTTACCACATTTCTTGGGATAACAAAGGCGACTTGTATCCATTTTTTTGCACGCACCATGTTCCATATTATAGACATCGTAAAAAGGCCGGAAACTGGTTTGTCACTTGTGCCGTGCCAAGATTGTTGTGCTGTGGGTCTACCCGCTAAAGATGCAAATGTAAACCAGCATGCGCACCTAGATCATCAAACATCTAAACATCATTTTCGACCTCCACAAATCATCAACCATCATCTCACCAATCATCTCACCAAACATCTTCAAGACCAACAAAATTTCCCCAGAATTGATCCCTAGGACATCATTTTTGGGGGCCATCATCAAAGTCAATGGATTGGTTTAAGGGAAATTTTGCAGGAAAGCCCTTTTTTTAATGGGAAAATCGATGGTTTCCTGTAGATTTTCCCTTAAACCAATCCATCATCGCGTCGCTGCCAGGCGCTGGCCCAGCTGAAGGTCGGCCATCTCACAGGAGCGGAGCTGGAGCTCGGCAAAGCGCTGCGGGCCTGTCTGGGGGCCAAAAGGATGGCCATGGCGGGCCGTTTTTCACCGTGACGATACGTGACGAAGCAATGGAAACAGGAAAGAAAGATCACTTATTAAAAGGTACTATGTAGGTACTATGTAGGTACTATGTAGGTACTATGTAGGTACTATGTAGGTACTATCCCTCCATTTTTTCAGGATTTTTCAGGAAATATTTCGAAAAGGAACTAGTAGTAACCATCGGACATTTAGATACATTTAGTGATTACTATGGTACTCAGATTTACCATCTGAGATTACCAACCATTTGCTAGTCGCAGAAATCATGGTAACACCCCATTTCGAATGTGATGCATCCCAAATTGCATGGTTGAGAAAGTCACTTTCCCTCTAAAAATGGCCACGGAATGACTGATATTCGGAATACATTCTCCTTTTACAGACACACCCATTATGGTAACCATAATTCTTGGTGAAGTTATATCTTATATTTATATATCCATTAAAATCCCACTATATAAATCACCATTGAATCTCTATTGAAATCCCATCAAATCCCAGAAAATCACACAAATCCCATAGAATCTCTATTGAAATCCCATGAAAATCACCATTAAATCACCATTTTTGGACGGCTTCCCACCTTGAAATCTTGGGCCATCCAGGTCCCACCGGGATGGTACCACTGGCGCGTGCCAAAGATGCCGTCGCTTGGATGTTACGGAACTGGAGGGAGCCAGGTATTTATTTGTCAAGACGTATCTATATATATATATACGTATATATATATATTGTCAATTGGCAAGCGGATTCTATTCCAACACCACTTCCACCAGAAAGCTGCGGCCTCGCAGCAATTTTCCCCAGCGCACGCCTCGTGCGAAGCAGCCGTTCCACGGCTTTGTAGAACCAGGCCGTCCACGGCCAAAACAGCCAACCGTATGGCGCCAAAGGTGTAACCCTCCCACCGCACAACCGGCTCGCCTGAGCCATACACCTTTGGAACACTCAAGTCTGGGACCTGGCAGAATTATTTTAACAGGCATTAGTGGTTTATACAGGCAAGTGAAGGACCGGTTGGATGGGAACCCTGGCATGCTTAAGGGATCAGAAGTGTACATTTCACATTCCCAAAACTTCAAAGTTTTTCAGATTCAGGACACTTCTGATCAGTCGCAGTCCGCAACCATTTGAGTCGGTTTCGGTTGGATGCTCTGTTTTTCAGGACTTCCTCGGAGTCGTGCAGGCAGTAACGTCCATTCCTTAAGGTTTCCCTGAGAAAGTTTGCTTCCATTACCTTCGTTAAGGCATCTGCAAGCTGAGCTCCTGAGTGGACCCAGTGAAGTCTTATACCTTCGGACATGATGTCTTTGATCGATCGCGCAAGGAGTTGTGTTCGGAATTCCTGGCAGTTCGGAATAGCTGTTCTGGTTGTCAGGTCATAGAGGCTTTTACAGTCAGTTATGGCAAGGTCTTGGTCGTTTACTTTATACGTAGGAAGGGAAATTGCAGGTGGAAGGTTTTTCGCTTCTTCGGGTTTTTGCCATGCAGTGTTTGGATTGAGGATCCATGCCCAGTATAAACGCATCCAAGTGAGTTGATCCAGGGTAGTTGACAAAGCTGTTGTTTCAGCCGAGAGTGTACTAGTGACGATTCTTTGAATTTTCTTTGTTCCCCATGATAGGGGGCTTATGGGACAGGATTGGTTTCGGGTGATGTCTTGGTGGGTTGAAAGAATGATCATACCGGCATGGGAATCTGGCTTACTTTTGGATGCAAAAGATGCATCAGAGAACGCAATAAAACGCAGGTCCTGTGTGTTGATGGGTTGTATTTTGATGCTGACGTCGCTGTGTTTCTTGGCATTATGAAGCACTTTATTGGCAGTTACCAGTGTTGCAATGGTTGCACTGTTGATTTGGGATTGGAGGTGGCTTAGGGCGCTGGCGATATCGGGTCGGGCATGTACGGCTGCGTACTGAAGGGATCCTACCAGGCCTCTAAGATTATGCCTTTCTTCCTCGGTTACAGGTTCATTTTCTTGGTGCTTTCTCTCGGGCTTGATGGCAATTGGAGGGATGTGATTCACATATTTTGTTTGAGAAAGTTCAATACTTTTGTCGGGATGTTGGCACATTTCAATTCCGGTGAAGGTGAACGCTTTTGACTTTTTTGATCCAAAGGGATATTTTGCTTCGAGTTTGGTAATTTGAGAGTGAAAATATGAATCACCACCATGAATTCCATCATCCACATGGATGCCAAGTGCACCTGAAAGTTCTTTTGTCTCGGGATGTCGTAGAACGTAAAGGCATGGGTCAAATGGGCTGGCTTGGAAACCAAGGGCTTTCAGCTCTTCACACAGGGTTTTGTACCAAAGGAAAGGTGCATCAATTAGTCCGTAAGCGGATTTATCTAATTTGCACACTTCATTTTCTTTGAGGCTCATGGCTTTGGACAATTCTGGTACGGGTTCAATTCCAATAATTCGATCTTGTTGAGGTTTTCCTTGTAGAAATGCTGCACGGATGTCGAAAGAACCTAATGACCATCCCTTTGAAGCGATCAGCTGTAGAAGGAGCATTTTGGATTGTCTTCCAAGGGTCGGGCTGTCTCTGGGAACTTCAGTGATGTCGGGGTCAAGATATCCAAGGACCACTAATCTGGCTTTTGGTTTGTGTGTCTTCAATTTTTCTGACTTGAACTGACCTGTTTCCTTGGATTCGGCTTTTTCTTCTAAAGGTTTCCATACCAAAATCCATCTGCATCGCAAAATTTGTTCAGGAGCTAATTTTGATCTGAGGATTTTGGACACGGTACCTGTGCTTATCCAGTTCTGAACTTCATTTTCTTTTGCTCTTTTGAATGCCTGAAGTTCCTCTGAATTCAAGGATGACAATTTCACTTCGGTACGCTGTTTCTTCTCGGTGGAGGCTATTAGGATCTCATCGGCATGCCAATGGGATAGCTGTTGTGTCGTGACATTCTTTGGAGCATCCAACTCAAACCTCCATGCGCAGGGTGTCTCGGTGGGATCAACGGTCATTGCCAAATCATCTACGCATAGCAGGTGCGTCGTGACGAAGTCATCGGCACCTTCTGGCTCAGGATCATTCGGTTCATGTGCTGTTGATTCATCATTTCGATCTTGGCTGTTGGGCACATCAAGAGGGCTTTCGTCAGGTTCCCCATCAGGTTGGTCTTGGGATTGGCTGTTATTGTCAGTGTCAGGAACTGATTCCTCTGGGTTATGATGGTTATTACTGTTGTTAGTAGAAGGTTCATCATGTGGAATGGAGATTACTGGTGTGATATTGAGTTTTCCTGGAGTGGTTATTGGTATCTCTTCGGGTAAGTTGTGTGCTTCTGACGCACATACAGGTCTCACATGTTCGGGGGCCCTTCTATGCAACTTCCCTCCCATGGATGCCCAGATCGAGAATCGATCCTCTTGTTGAATTACCTTCAGTGGTCCGAACCAATAGCCTGGCAAGTTCTTTTGTGGTTGCCACATCATGATCCATTCACCTGGCTCATATGCTGTTCGATCTGGCCTTGATCTACGGAGACAGGCTCTTCTCAGTGCCATGTCATTGTCTGCTTGGTGATATGCAATTCTCGCCTTCTCACGCAGGGCAAGGTTCCGGCGAAACATGATTCCATGGGCATCTTCTCTAAGGGCGCTTTCGTGAGCTGAGACTTCGTCACTGCTCACATTGGAACCCGGAATTTTGGAACTTTTGCCAAACACCAATACTTCAGGGGAAAAACCTCTGCGGATGCTAAGAGTATTCTTTGCATGAGTGCACTGGATGAGGGCTTGTTGCATGTCATGAAAGGAAAGGATTGGATTTTCGGCATCAATCTTGGTCAGCATGGTTTGCAGGATTTGTCCATGTCTTTCACTTCTACCGTTCTGCCAGTGTGCATTGGGACATGTTACAGTACTTTTGACGTCATGTCTTTGAAGAAATTCTTCAAACTTTTCACTTGTGAACTCCGTTGCTGAATCCATGATCATGGAATTCGGAGGTCCTGCCCATTGAAACCACGCCTCGGTAAGCTTCTGTACAGCTTGCTCGGCTGCTCTGCTGGGTGCTGGTACAGCAACATGGTAGTTGGTGGCTTGGTCAAGAATATGATAGAAATGAAAATTTTGTCCCTTTTGTGATGTCCATGTAACCCCATCGATAAACACCTTATCGTTAAAATCCAGTTCGGTCTTGAAAGTGCTGGGTCTGGAAATTTTGGGTCTTTGTTGGGACGCACATGTTGAACATTTCATATCATAGACTGCTTGTGACACCTCTGATCGGCACCCTTGACTGCGCAACACCTGGCTAAGCTGCTCGGGACTAGGATGGCACAAATTCTTGTGTGCCCTTTTGAGCATGGCTTGCTCTTCTCGAGGCAACGCACGGAATCGTGGACCATGCGATTCTATGTCTGAGGTCTCCTGCGGTGGGTTTTCGCTGATATTGTCTTTTGAAGGGCTTCTGGCATCAACACTTGGTTCAATTGTTTCTGACGAGTCAGGAGTGAAGGCTTCAAAATGTTTCTGGGATTCGTTCATGGGATGTTCATGGGCGACCTCAGGCATTCCTTGGTCTGATGGCTGAGCAGGCTGATTTGTTCCTTCTGGTTCTTCTGTACATGGTGCACGAATTGGGGTCGATTCAGGATTGGCTGCAAACATCGTTATATTCACCCGACACGGCGGAGAAGGTCTGATGAGCTGCCTTTTGGAAATCTGATCATACTTTTCCCAACTTCGTTCAACAAGGATTTCCTGAGTGTCTCGAATTTTCAAGATTGACCTGCGAAATGGAGCTTCTTCCGGATGCATGTTCAGAGGAGGTCCGAGTCTACGATCAGTCCCTTTACAGGCCAATATTTTCTTGATGTTCATGTCTGCAAAAATTTCTTTGACAATTTTCAGGATATCTGGCTGGTCAAGCACTTTTCTGCCTACTCGTGGAAGAATGGATTCGATTTGATTCATCATCTTTTGGATTTGCTCGGATGCAGGTTCATAGTCATGGAAATTGGGTGGTTGGTCGGTCTGCTCTTCAGTGACCACCTTAGGTCTTTTGGCGGTTCCAGGCCGGTCGGATGCGCCAGCTGCAGCAGGGGTCTTATGGCCCCGAGTTGGATTCACTCGCACTCGCTTGGACGGACGTTCTTTGACACCTGTTGCATAAATTTCATTGTGCATTTGATCAAACAATATTAAGGCAGGGTCGGCAATTGTTCCCAACGGCTTTTCCTGTGGAAACTTGTTCTTGATCAAAGACTTGGCAACCAGGCGACTGAACTTCCTTGGATAGTTTTCGGTAAACTCAGAGCGCAACATCGGTCTTCCTTGCCACACTGTGGAACCTTCAACAACTTGGTGGTCATGATCTTGAGAGCATTTGAGGTGATTGAGACTGTCGAACATTCGTTGAGAACTGGTCATAATATGCAAACCTTTTTTCATGAGAGCATGATTTTGTGGGTCTCGAAGTTCACCTGCACGACAAAGATCAGGTTTGGCGCTCAACATGTACCTATGGAGTTCCTGTAGGTATGGCAGGCGGATCATCAGAGACCCTTTTGGTTGCTCCAGGTGAGCATGTCTCTGGCATCGATGTTGGTGACGGCACAAAACGAGGCACAAAGCAATCTGGCCGAGCATCTCTCCCCTTTGTTGGTTGATGTTATCCCAAGCTGCTAATGATCTTTGGCTGTTAAACTGTGACCATTTTCCCCAAGGACCACAAGTTGGACTCATCCAAATGTTGCGGGGTTGATACTTCAAAACCAGTGCAAACAGCCTACGGCGGCCCTCAGTGCTTTGGAGGTCGCCTTGGCTCAGGCCGAATCGGAAAGCAATCCCACCTAGTTTCTGGACCTGTTCTGTCAGGGTGCTTTGTGGACCGCAAAAAACTTCGATGGCATCGATGCTTCTTTGGGATGGATTTGTTATTCCCTTCATATAGATAAGTTCCCTCTCAATCTTATTGACTAAGTCCCAGAACTTTATCCTTTCATGATTGGGGATTGATTCACAAAATTCATCAATTTCGCCAGCTTGCAGGGACCAATCGGAGGTCTCATCCCCTATGGATTCCAGGGATCGTCGAACTCCACTTGTGCAGTCTCGTGGGTCGGCATGGCATGGGTGTTCTGCATCTGGTGGTTGGCACTTTGGGACATGAGCGCGATCATGCGCTGCATGGCATTCTCCAAGTTTAGCATTCTCTCTTGGAGCGCGTGGACATTCTCTGCCAGTTCCGTGGTTTCCGGATGCGGCGGCATCAGTCCCTCGGACATCATCTCGAAAGCTTCGATCTCTGGTTCCACCGGCAACTGCCAGTGATTGCTTGGGCTGGGCATGCTCTTGGCTTTGGCAGCCAGGGATTTGGGAAGTCCCTTTGGCTTGATACAAGCCTGAGGATTCTTGGCTTCCCCGGCTTCGCTCTCTTCCACCTTCAACTGAATGAACTTGATCATGAGACGGTGTTCCATTCGGGTGCTCTTCTGGTAGTGACTCATGAACCATTTCACCCACTCCGGGTCTGAGTGCCATACTTCCTCGTGGGATTTGCCCAGATGGGTTTTCCCAAACGTCACTGGGGTGTCCTTGATGTCGATCAGCTTGAGACCATCGATTGTCTCCTGGTCGGCTGCTGGAATCTGTGCCTGGGCTTTGGAAAGGCGCTGATTCCACGTGCTCATGGCTGCTTGCTGAACAGACCGGGGACTTTTCTGCACGGTTGTTTTGAGGCCAAAAGTTGCTGTCAGCACATTTCTGTGCTTCTGATTCTACCATCGCAGTGCCTACACCTTGAACCTCTGAGCCTTGTGGTCTACTGTTCTCTGGTTGTGGCTTCATGGAACTATTTAAGGCTGGCAAGCTTTCCGCTGTTGTTTTGGCAGGCTCCTGAGTGTCCTGGGCATATGTCTCAGCAGGCTCTGATGAGCTTTTGGGCACGGGTGCAATCTGAAACAACATGTTCATGTCGATTAGATACAAACCTTTTGACGACAACTTCAGGGGAATTTGGCAATCATGTTTTGGCATGATGAGGAGATCCCTTTCCGTGTCTATCATGGCACCCAATGCGCGCAAAAGCGTGTTGGAGATTAAAAACGGAGTTGATCCTTCAACCACAGCAATCTTGAGGTTCATGCCCGCCACAGGTACAACCATGGCATGTGAGGCCTTTAAGGTGCCCTGATTTCCAAACCTGAACACAACATCACATGAACAACGTTGCACTTGTTTCCTGACTTTCGGGTCCATGGCATTGAGAAAACTGGTCACATGATTATTCCCCATTACGGTCTTAGTAGCCCCAGTATCTATTATTCCCCATGAGTCATGCGTGGCAAACATTGCATCGGCTGCGGAGTTGACAGTGGCTGGGATTGGACTCCTCACTGGTGAAAACTTTCGGGAACTTTCGCTTCTCAGGTGGCTCACGGTCGGTTTGGAGGCAAAATGCCTTTCTGTCATATTGCTCGGGCACAAAATGTGCTCATTGGTCATACTTTTGGACTTGCACGGGCTCGGATGCTTCGTCTGCGAACGGAGCTTCGCTTCAATCCTGTGCACGAGTGACTTTACCCCAGAATTAGAACTATTGTTACCCTTAACATAATTCCTAATTCTCTCCCTTATGTCCCTCATGTTCTTGGATTGGCAGGCTGGCTGTGAGGATGTGCTTAAACATTCAATTGAAAAAACTGTCTGTACAACATTTGAGGCTGCAATCACGGCGTCCTGTTGGTTTTCCTCAGACACCAAAGGGAGATCCATGAACTCGGCTGCCATCACTTGGTCAGATCCAGTTGTCGAAGAGGCAACCGAAAGAGTCACTGCAGCGGATTGTGACGTCCCTGAATTGCTTGCGGGTCGGGAGGGGCATTCCCCTTTCCAGTGGCCTTTGCGACCGCACAATCTACAGTGGCTTTCCAGGATTCGCTGCTGCAAACTCTTTCTACCCCAGTTGGATCGGCCCTTGGCCTTGCCTTTGCCAAACTTGGATTTTCCCTTTCCGATTGGAAAAAAACCTCTGGCTCGAAACTTCTCACTGAGCTTCTTGCGGGCTTCGACATACGACGTGTATGCCGTGGAGAGTTCATCATCAGACTGAAGCAACTCACTGGCTGCTGCTTCGTAGTCAGCCACAAATGCGGCATCATTGTCACCTTCGGCAAGCAGTGTTTCGATCATCTCGTCCTCATCAAAATCCTCGTGGTAGACTTGGTGTACCTGGTCATCCATGTCACCTGAGGTCTCTTGATCTTCCGTCAGCAAAACGTTTGAGTCATACACCTTTGTCTTGACTGTCTTGCGTCCTTGTCCGGTCATCTCCTGGAAGAAAGAGGTTCCGAGCATTCTCACTGCCTCTCGAACACGGCTGATTGTCAGTTTTCCGTCCAACGATTGGTCGGAATCCAGGATGATTCGCTTCTTGTCCTCGCTCGTCAGCGATGCTCCCCGAAGCGTTATGTACGCTTGGAGATCTTCCATCTGCAGTTTCTGGCTTGCAAGCTTCGACCAGAGCACGTCTGCACGTGCTAAGTATGAGTCATGGCTTTCATCGGCTTGTTGATTGCACTGATACAAAGCTTTCTCCGCATCTGAAAAACGACGTTCAAGGCCTGTTTGGCCCCAGTGTCCTCCGAGGTGTTCGATGAGCTTGTGTACTGACTTGGCCTCATTCGTGCTTAACTCAGTGTGGTGCAGCTGCAACTTAGCAAATGCAGAACCTGACGTATTCAGAATGAGCCTAGTAACAAGCTCTGAGATTCTATTCGGAGGCCAAACTGTCAACACCATTTGTACCTTTTGTTGGTACATCTGCAGATCATCCTTCGACGGGTCAAAACTGGGCACTAGCGAAGCTAGTTGATTGGAGATGTTCCCCTGACCATCTCCTCCAGAGCTCTCTGACATGACTGCCAATCCAGAGATGAAAACTTGGTCTCACCTTCTAAGAAACCAGTCAAATCACCAGTGGTAGCCCCGGATACCCCCTGCTTCACGCAAGGGGCTCCGCTACCAATGTCAATTGGCAAGCGGATTCTATTCCAACACCACTTCCACCAGAAAGCTGCGGCCTCGCAGCAATTTTCCCCAGCGCACGCCTCGTGCGAAGCAGCCGTTCCACGGCTTTGTAGAACCAGGCCGTCCACGACCAAAACAGCCAACCGTATGGCGCCAAAGGTGTAACCCTCCCACCGCACAACCGGCTCGCCTGAGCCATACACCTTTGGAACACTCAAGTCTGGGACCTGGCAGAATTATTTTAACAGGCATTAGTGGTTTATACAGGCAAGTGAAGGACCGGTTGGATGGGAACCCTGGCATGCTTAAGGGATCAGAAGTGTACATTTCACAATATATATATATGTACATATATATATATACACACACACATATATATATACATATATATATATTTTGAAAATGAAAAAACATGTATATTGTATATGTCTATGTACATGTATATGTATACATTGAAGATACCATGTGATGGTCGTAGACGTAGACGTTTCAAAGCTCACAGTATTTGTTTGATTCCTACCGGGGAAGTGGTCAGGTCTATACCACCTATAAAGATGGAGATTTGGGGGATGGTTTATGACATTGTTTTACCATGTTTTACCCATACTGAACCTGATGTAGATGTAGTATAGAGTTGGACCATCACCAATACAAACTGTGAGACATTCCAAGTCCAGGCTCGGCTCCGATGCCTTATTTTGGTGAGGGGCAAATTTGTTGCGCTATTCCCCATTGTATGATTGATTTAGCATATTTTATACATCATATCCCACATATGTGACATGTAAAGACCATAGGATCCTCGAAGTTTCCGTTCCATCCATTTTTCACATGGTCGCAAGGTTGGAATCCTTTCGCTGATGTTCAAGAGTGATTGGCGCCATGCGCATGTGAGTGGGAAGCTCAAGGGGACCAGGACGATGATCCTTGATTTCTCGATTCTTTAGATAATTACTGTACTTTTTTTTTGGGGAAAATGATGAGAAACCATGTGATTTCCGGATGTTTGATTTTTTTTTTGGAAAAAAAACATATGATATACCATATATGTATATATATAAATTGTATAGATATTAAAAAAAACAAAACCGTCGTTTTCCCACATCCCAGCCACGTTGACCAGAGGGTCAAGCGCTGCGCCGACGCCAAGGACTCAACATGTTGCTGCAGTCCTGTCCAGTGGGAGCCTAAGCTAAGAACCAGCTGGACCAGGTGGAATCTACAGCAGTTTCATGTGCTAACATATACCAAATATATACCAAATATATACCAAATATATACCAAATATATCCAAATATGCAGGTAAGTAGCAGACACAGGTGTGTTTCTGGAAATTTGGATACATCCACTTAGAGTGACCGAAAGCTATCCAAGGCACCTATGCAGGATGGCTTACCAGTGAGGGGCCCGGGACTGTCGGTGGCTAACCATCAGATGGGGCGTCCCAAAAAATTGGGGATAGCCTCTGGTAATTTAACAGTTTGCCATGGAAAATGGATGAACATGGCCCATTTACAGATGATTTGCTCATTTGGTGATTTTCCATAGAGGTTCCCTCAAATCCAGTGGCTTTTCTCACAATGTTTGCCATTTTCTTGATGGCCATTGGGGTAGATCCAATCTTCAAAAACCGCCTCAAGTTGTGGATGAAACATCCAAGTCCCAGAAATTCAGTCCAAGTCCGACCTTGATGGCTTCAGGTCATTTTCCTTCCCCACGAATTGATGGTGTACAGAGGCGCTTGCTCGTGGGAGGCTCAGAAATCGATCATCCCAAAGTCCGTGTGACCATGGCTTTGCCGCGTGCTTCAAAATGAGTAATGTGAGTGTCCCTAATCTATGGCCATGGAAGAATGGGGAAAGCCGATTTTCTCAAAAGCATTGGGGTTTTGAGATGGATAACCACTTATTATCATTTGTTGTTGACTTAACCACCAGCAAATCATCAAGAATCACTAATCATCACATCATTTATTTGGATTTTATTCGCGATGCAACAAACCCTTGGGTGACCTTTTTTACTGACACCAGAACATATAGAAATCCTATGAAATCGTGCCTGAGTGAATTCCCCACACCTGACACCCGGTCTCCACCCGCTGCGAGGCTGTACCTGGGGGATGCCACTGCGATACAGGAGGGCTTCATTGTGAGGGTTTTATAGATCAGTCTTCAATCGTTTACTGTATGGGATTATGATGGATTATGAATCGTAATCCCATGATCGCAATCTTCAATCAGGTCTGAATCTTCCGCAGAATCCCATATTTTGAGGAGAATTTAACTGGGATTCCATTGCGGAGTAATTCAAGGTCTGGGGAATCACCTATGACAACAGCATGGTGGAAGAATAGAGACAACAACTAGCCATGAAGACCAGGGGAACAGGGTGAACTCGACCCATAGTCCTACATGCATATGCACACACACACACATATATATATAATGTATGTATGTAGTCATTAATAGAGGCATCCCAGAGTAGATAGAATATCGAAATTTCAACAAATCACCGAAAAAATGGTAATATGTTTGAAAATCCCATATTCTATCTGCTTATTAGTTAGTTGCGCACATAAACACACATATTTAGTTAGATGATGTTAGATAAATATCCTACGCAAATGTGACGAACGCTGACCAAAGGGGGCCCCTGATTCTGACCATTGCAGGACTTCACGGTGGCTTTGGAGTTAGCGGGGCATTTTTTTGAGGCGTGGAGAGGGGTTGATCGAACCAGGAAAGGCATTTTTAAACGGATCGAATTTCGTTTCTCCAACATCGTGATCCTCAGGATATCACTATGAAATATATTATATTATATTATATTATATTATATTAAATTATATTATATTATATTATATTATATTATTATATTATATTATATTATATTATAGTTATATTATATTATATTATATTATATTATGTTATATTATATTATAAAATAAAACCATCGTGAAGATAAACTGATCCTCAGATAAAATGCCATCGTTGATGATGACGACACCTCGTATTGATATTGTCTCATGTATTTTTCCATTGAGCGATTATGGACAATGACCACGGATGACCGGTGGTTTCCCATACCATTTTCATCCATCTTTGATCTGCGTATGGAACTGGGCATTTGAACCCTACTACGATGAAACAGCTTTTGTTGGTTTGTTTGCACAGCATTTGGTAATTTTTAGGTATGAATGCTCCAATCTTTGGGCCGTTTGAGGTTTCCAATTTTGACCCAAACCCTGATTTGAGATTTTGTTTATATCTTTGACTATCTACGCATTTGCATGTGTATCTGCATTTGTATTTCTATGACTGTGCATATCTGTAGGCAACCACTATGTATATGATATCATATTACATCATATTATATCAAATTATATCTATTTAGTATTACACATATATACATACATATATATATATATTTATATATATATGAGATATGTATAAAATGGCACATCTATTATGTATCATAACATATCATATGTTAGCATATCATAGCTTGTTACAGCCACCGAGTCCATCGTCCAGGCGGAAGGCGACTCGTCCAAAGAGACGACCTTTGGAGAAGGCTCCGAAAACGGAGATTTCCTGAATGGCAATGGGATTTAATGGGTGATTTGATGATGATTTAATGGGATTTAATGGGATTTAATGGGATTTAATGGGGTTTAATGGTGATTTAGTAGGATTTAATGGTGATTTAATGGGATTTAATGGGGTTTAATGGGGTTTAATGGGAATTTCTGATTAATCTGGGTAAATTAGATCGTTCTCCCTCACTGTTCTCCCGAGCCCTGGAAATCATAGTTCGGATTCGGGAAGTCGTCCCCAAATGGGCCAACTATTCAGGTTAGTGAGATATTATAATTTGCCCAGATACATATGACATATGACATTACAGACATGTTTGGTGTACTGTATATAAAATGGTTTCATACTGATGATAATGATAATTCATAATAATGACAATGATAGTAATGACATGATAATGATGATGTAACAATAATGATGATAATAATAGCAACAATAATAATAATGACAATAGTAATAGTAATAATAACAATAAGAATGATAACAAATAATGATACGAATAATAATAATAAATAATTGATAATTAACAGTAATAATAGTAATACTACTACTACTACTAATAATAATAATAATGATAATAATAATTAATAATAATAATAGTAATAATATATAGCAATAATAATGATAACACATAATAATAACAATGATAGTAATGAAAACACATAATAGTAAATAAACATAAACCATGATAAGAATAAGTAATAATAGATATAACATTTTCACCAACTGGACATGTTACATGTTGTCAACCTTGGTGGGCTCCATTGGAGTCCAGACCCGACAGGCCGCATAGGTTTGGCGTACTTTGAATGCGAATGCACCTTCAACTTGGCTCTGTGTCGCTGTGCCCAAACATCTTAAAATGACGCCTTTGCGGTGACATGGATGGGGTGGACCTGACATGCCAAAAAAAATGAAGTTACCCTCTGGTAAACAATTACATAACTATGGAAAACCACCATGCTATCAATGGGTAAATCCACTATTTCGACTGGGCCATTTTCCATAATTACCAGAGGGTACACTATTTTATCACGAATAGATGAAGATGTTCCAACATTAGTTTTAATGGCCCTCGTTATTTTCACTTTTTTTTCCAAAAAAATAATGCTCATAGATTGGGTAGAGAAATACACCTGTTCGATGGGTGACATTTGACTGTTTCATCAGCAGACATTTTCATACAGTTTAAGCATCCTCAGATATGCATAGACATGGGATGATGATCTTCAACGACTTTCAGTTAAACCACCAGCCATTGTCGTTGCTGGAATCACGCCTTTGCCACTCATGACAATGCCAATTACATCCAATTACCCTATGTTCCAGCTCTCAATGGGGTGTGACCAGGGTTACAAACCAAATACACTACTACAATTCTGATGTTGTCATATCCAATCTTTTGGTTTGTCTTGTTGGTTACCCTCTGGTTATTTAACAGTTCGCCATGGTATAGATGGCCCATAGAAATAGATGGTTTACCTATAAAAAATGGTGATTTTCCACGGCTATGTTAAATAACCAGAGGCTATCATTAGCTATTGGATAATTTATGAATCTCAATCCAAATTAGTGGTGAATCTAACTATAGTTGAACATCTAACCTACAATCATACTATGGTGGATAATATATCATACTATTATAACCCCATTTTCTGTATCTCTCCGGTCATCCAACATGACTCAACAGGTGGACACAACAGGGGGCCTTGGGGCCTTGGGGCCCAGGTCAGCTACGCTCCAAGAGCTACGCCGGGGCGCTGGCGAATCTGGAGAAGCTCTGCGAACGCATGGAGGAGATTTGATGGTGATTTCATGGTGATTTCATGGTGATTTAATGGGAAAAAGATGGAGGAACTTCATGGAAAATCATGGAACACATGGTGATTTCATGGGATTTCACCAAGAAAAAATGGTGAGTTCATGGAATTTCGTCAACAACAATGGTGAATCGGATTTAATGGGGATAGAATGAGGATCTATAGGGATATACTCAATTATGAACATTGGCTAGGACCAAAGTTTTTTTGGGTGATTTTGGGAGATTTGTGAGTTCTCACATGATTTTTTTGGTAGATTTTGACTCGACATATATTGAGTGATGGTCAGTGATGGTGTCAAACTGATAGGTCCAACGATATCCAACGCTCCCAAATTCAAGATGTGCTATTTAGGTCCAACAATATCCAACAATATCCAACAATATCCAACGCTTGCCAGAAAACCCCACATCTTTTGAGCATTCGAAAAAACGAGCCCGTCTACGCTGAAAAGAGTTTGGTGAAGTCTCTGCTCATACAGACTACATCGAGCTCTGAGAGGTGACCAATATCCCGGAATTGGAATTGAGGGACAGAATTGCAAGATTATATATATGTATAAGCATGTATTATCCTGATAATATTTATATGCAAAATGATGCAAAATGTATTTGAATGTATTTTTGATGATTTACTGAAAAACATTGTTTCCTCACAGATTCAAGCAGCAAGCTTTTCCAAGTCGGAAATCAAGCAATTTGATACTAAGTAATCATTCTAATCTTCATAGAAAATCAGTGAACCATCCCCTATCCCAACTCAGCAGTCATGGGTGAATCCTGCTGGAGCAGAAATCAGCGAGGAGATGGAGATCTGCGCAACAGCCATGGGTCTGGTCTGGTTTCTCTGTGGCATTTGTCATCTTGCCCTGGACAGCGCCTCGGCAAAATGCTGCGTCCAGCGCTGCTGTGATCATCAACTGGACACAACTCAGTTGTGTTGAGTTGATGGGTATCAATATTCTAGACTACCCTATGGTTATTTATATAACATAGCCATGGTATAGATGACCCATAGAAATAGTTGGGTTACCTATTAATAGCATGGTGGATCTTTCCATGGCTATGTTAAATAACCAGATGGTATCGACATTGGTTGATTTGAGTTGTTTTCTTCATAATCTGATAATCATCACACATTTTGGTTTATTTATCCTCCAGTAAACTATATAACAGTTTGCGAGAGAAACCATGGCCTACAGCTAGTTAGTTCGAGGATTTGCGATTTTAAAACTGTATCAATTACCAGAGGGCATTGTTTGTCATAACCATCTCACAATCATCCCGAATCATCCCAATAATAATCTCAATGCCTCTGGTAATCAAACATGGCGATGAAAACTCCACCATTTATATCCATTTATAGATGATTTCCTATCAAACCCTTCATTTAGTTCGAGGATTTTCTAGCCACGTTTGATGACACCGGCGTGACTAAGCAATTCCCAAACTTAGATCATCTATTGGTCGATGCCAGGTGCCACGGAACAGTTTGCCAAGGAGGCTTTCTCTCGTTGCGCCCTGAGATCGGTACTGGGTCCTGAAATAAACAATTGGCAGCGAGTTGGTTGATGTTGGTTTCAACTTTTTTCAGCTTAGATTCATGGATGTTTTTTTTTTTAAACATGTTTTTGCCAAGATGGGGACACAGCTCGATGTTTTGAGGTTCCTATTCTTATGACACTGCCTATGTGGATGACTTCCTCCTCCGGAATGGCAGCCAGATGAGTCAAGAGGCTCGACAACTCTTAGCTTCAGAACGTTTGGTTCAAGTAGGGCGGCAAGAGTTTGAAACCGATTGGTGGTTTCAACATTTCAAAATCTTGATGTTTGCCGGAAAGAAGTCTGTATGCTGATATCCCCAATGACTTTCATACTTTTTTGAAAAGGATTGAAGGTGAAGCACCAACCAAGCAGTTTTGAGATTTTGTTCGTTCACTGGCAGGAGGATCGACCGGAGAAGTGCGAGTCTGAGCTGAGTTTACAGTCCGATGTGCAGAAATATTCGTGATGAGACTTGGTGGAGTCCTTTAAGACTATTTCATATAGATCATATAGGTTAATGGTTTACTTTCTTTCCATAGATGGGGGGGGTATATATAATTATATACTAAGTATATATATATATATATTGTATGTATATACCCAGCTTCAAACCGAGCTTTTAAACATCAGCGTCACAATGTATCCAAGATTAATATTTTTTTTGGGGGAATTTGCGATACCAACCTACTGAGCTTTGAGAAATCTCCAAGTGCTTCAGTCTTTGTTGGATGGTGTACCATCGGTCTACCCATGATTGTTAGGGTTTCCTGTCCCCATTTCATGATTTTTTGATATTATTTCTTTGATTCTTTTACTGCTTAGGCCGCGACCCCTTGGTTGGTGGCTCAGTGGCTGAGATCTTTTCTGGCCACTTTCCATCCAAGCATGGGATGCTGGTCCTCAATGAGTTTTCATGTCGGGGGCCAGACTCAAAAAGACACATTTTTGTTGGACCTGTTTTTTTGGATAGCACTGCATCTGAGGTGGACCACCTGGCAGGGAAGAGGAGGGCAAGGAAGATCTTCCCACAGTGGTTTTTGGGCATCAATGGATTCGTTGAGGGAAAATTGAAACCGGAAACCATGTGGTTTCCCATGAAGTGTGGCGGGTTTTCCTGAACCATTTTCCTGAAGCCTCAAACCATTGATTCGTTTCACCTGATGGGCATATGATTTTTGGGCATCGACGGAAGGTTTTGATCTACCCCCATGTCGGATTTTGCTCGGATGAAAATAAGATGAAATAAGCCGGCCGTTGTTCAATGATTGACGCCGCCTGTTGAACATGAAGAAATGGATCTTTACTGCTACGCTCTGGTTTATTCATTAACTTAGCTAACATCACCACTTTAAGTTACGGTAAATCACGATAAATCCTCGAACTAAATGGACCACGGCCTCATAGCAAACTGTGATTCACATTATCAGAGGCTATACCCTCTCGTTTGATCCCACTCAATCCGCTTCATATTAAATCCTCTGAAATTCTATTAATTCCCCCAAAAAAGCATCTAAAATCCTCTAATTAAGATCTTATAAAATCCTATAAACATCTTCTAAAGTCCTCTAAAATCCCAAGATAATCCTGGATTACCATACCAGTTACCGGTTCCCCTACCCACGACTTCAGGTTTGCTGCCTGCAGCTATCCAGCGACAAAGACTCGCAAGGTCCGGAGATTGGGACTTTATTCAGTTTCATGGGGATTTCGTTGGGATTTCACAGGGGGATTTTACAGAGATAACAACTTGGACGTACCGTTGTGGAAGGCGATGGAATTGCGTCCTATCGCCCAACATGTTTTGTGAAAATACCACGACAGGACTCCTATTTATTGTGTATACTATATATTATAACATTATAACTAACTGTAGATTTCTATATTTCTATATTTCTATATATCGGTACCTAGATCTATATATTATGTATGTACAATACTTGCATATACCATGCAATATATATATGTATATATATATATGTGTATGGGATCCTGTACTTGTGGTGAGCGCGCTGGCCTCCAGATGCTGAAAACACACAGAGTCGCAGTGCCAGGCTAGGCGAATTCCGGTTATAAATGGAGGCTTTGATGGAAAGATCCACGAAAAAAATTGGGAATTTTCAATTGGTCAACACGGCTTGCTGAAAAATCCATTGTTTAGTTGGATGATTTTCCCAGCTATAAACCTCCATTTAGTTCGGACATTTTCCATTGCCACGTTTGATTGCCGGAGAGTAAATGCACGCAATTGTTACTTAACTGTGAGCTGATAGTAGCTATACCTTGCAGACCCAAAAAATAAAACCATCCAAATGAGTCCCGTGAAACTTCGAATCAACCGTGCTGTGAAAATCAGAGTTGTTGGTGTTTTGAAAATCCTGGTCTCTTTTAAATCATCGCTTTTGCTTAAATCCTAAAAATTGAGGATGACATGATGACATCCTATAATTTTTATTGGTTTGAATCCCGGTTGATCATGATAGTCATTCAAAAAAGATTTGAATCATCAAAATATCTATAAATATCTGGATCATATCATATCATATCATATATCATATATCATATATCATATATCATATATCATATATCATCTATCATATATCATATATCAGATCATATCTGGATCTAACAATGTAAGTGGTTTGAAACTGCTTTGAATCCCCCAAAACGGAATCCCCCAACAACCAGCCACAGCTTTCTGGGCCTTGTCAACGAGGCGGTTCCTGAGCGCATTGGCGCCAATTCGCATCAAGGTGCCCGGCGATGGTTTCCTATGGGTTTCCCATGGCTTTCCCATGGGTTTCCCCGGGAAAAAATCGGAAAGATGACCATCTTATAGCTGTAGAATCTGGGAGTACGGGGTAATGACTTAGTTTGAAGGTGGATACCATTTTATACCTGTTTTTAAATCTTTTTTGTTGTTGGATGATTTTGGGATCCAACATGATCCAACTTTTTTTTTTTAAAGGACGCCCCAAATGTTCTTGGCCACATTTTGGGAGGGCTTAAGATACGGTTGTACCCCCATTTCGAGTGAATTTGGATGCTGAGGAAACTTGGGAGCCTGGACATGGTGGGATAGATCTCGATATACTTTTCTCAAATATTGGGGCGAAGATCAGCAATTGCCGCAATGATTCGCTTTGAAATTTGTTGCAAACTACACGCATATGCAACCCGTCTACATCCAGCAAAACTGCGGTAATTTTGTCACCCAAGATGCGGGCGTCACATGGGGATCCAAGACGAACATAGGGAGATGTTGATTCGACCTACACTAAGGAAGTTTGGCAGGTAGCGCTGCAGACCCCCCGCCAGCGCAAATGAGTGCTCCTGCCCCAAAGCCCGCAATGCCTGCGGACAACCCAGGGCCTGACCAGCTCATGTTGTCTGTGCTTGAGATGCAAAAGCAACAGATGCAGCAGCAGACCATTCTCCAGCAGCAGCTCTTGCGTCTCCAAGAAGCGCAATCTTCTCCTCCCAGCAGCCTTGCGCAGAACTTCCGAGCGCCTGTGCCCGCTCGGAGCAAGAGCCGACAGAAGGCGTCAACCCCAGCAAGTGTCCCTTCGACGCCAGCTAGCGCTGCAGCCCCAAAGCAGAAAGCCAAACGACCTGCAGCAGGCAAAGCAAAGGTGAGCAAGACTGGGCGCCGTGTGCGTGCAGGCTCCCTTGCCAAGCCAGGCCCGAAGACTAAGCCAGGCCGGTCTGAGTGACTACATCGGCTAGCCGGTTGGATGTCAGCAGCTGTGGAAAATTTGATTTGGGCATGCCTTTTCCAACTCTGCCGCTTAGCCTTTCTGTCGGGCCTGTGCCTTTGCATGCTTCGGCTGAATGTGTCTCTGGCATATGCAAACTTGGAAAGCGCAGGGATTTTGGAGAGTTTGAGGTTGGCCAGAACTGCGCTGACTGAACTGGCAGAGTCCTTAGCAACCAATGCCCGCCTTGCAAGCACTGCTGCTGAGAGCTACAGCGTAGCTGAGCTGCCCCTTTTCACTTCGATGGGTGGGTTTTCCCATGTTGCCATCGATGCTCTTAGTCTAATTGCCAATTTCTGGCCACATGCCAGACCAACTTTGCAACAGATCCTCTTGTAACTTGTTTTGCTTCCTTTTGGCGTTTTATTTTGACTTCCTTCAACTTTGTGATATTGGTTGCTGCGCAATTCATTGCCATTCAGAGGTTCAAATCCAATTGTCCATATTTGTAGGCCACACTGCAAACCAACTCCTTGTAGTGTTACCAGCTCTGGCGCAAACCGCGCTCAAGCCAGTAGAAGGTGGCGGTGGCCAACGGAGGAAAAGAAACTGAGTTACCAGTTGGAAGAGACAGAACAAATCTTAACGTGTAACTGACCGGACCCTACTTGAGAGCTGTGGTCTCGGCGTTATACGTCACCAAGGACACCAGTGAGTCCAGACAAGAAAACCCGGAATTGAACCTTGTCTTGTTTAGAGCGCTAGGCTCGCAGCCTGGCCCTATACACACCTTACTGATACTTTCCTTAAAAAAAAAATAGTTTGTCTAATTTTCTCAGATGACAGCGCACAGAGGCAAACGACCTCTGCGTCGATCTTGGAAGCGCAGAGTGCGCAGATCTTTCTATCGCAAGTTGAATTGCATGATTGCTTGGTGTAGCTTCTTGTTGCAACGAATTGTAAGTTGTGTCTTCACATGCTTGGCCTCTCTATCCATGTGGTTATTCACGTCGCAGGCTACGTGCGCTGCTGACTGTAAGTTGCCTCTGCCTATGGCTAAGCCTCGTGGTCGACCATGCCTCCCTGACATGTCCGGTGTTGATGTCTTGACATTGTCAGAAAAGGAGCTAGTCGATCGCATTGTTGGTGCTTTGTATACATGTGGTGACCAGGTGCACATGCCTCCACATGTCTGGGACACGTTGGCGAGCCAGTTTTCAGACAGGCTTTCGTTGTCTGAGAACAGTGCTGTCAGCCAATGTGTGTTGCGTTGTTGCATTATTTGTGTCGTTGCTTGCGGTGACCCAAGCCTGGCAAAGATGCTTTCCCACCAGCTAGGCTTGGTGACCCGTGCCATGGTTGCTTGGATGTTGCCGCATGACATGAAAACTAAAAAACAGACCAGCTTGGAGTTTGACCACTTGCTTCACATGTGCGGTTGCGTTCGGTTGTTCTTGCACACACGTTGGCAGGCTACTGCTGGTTGCAAAAGAACAAGATGGGCAAAAAAAAGGCTGCAATGCGTCCACCCTGACGTGACAGCCGCCATGTTCCAACCAGGGCAGCTGACAACAGCTAATGTGCGCTCTTGTGTTGTTTTCTTGTCCACCCAACTTGAGTGTAAGCAAGGCGTTCCCCTTGACCATGGTTGCTTGTACTTGCTGTGCTCTTTGCGTGGCTGTTACCTTGGAAGCACATCTGGTGATCGTCGCGCCTGGCGTTGCTCCATGTCGGCGCCCATGCCACGGTTTTATGAGCACTTGCATGACATTCAGTTAGTGAGACGGTCAGCTAGTTATGCTAAACATTTGCGGAAGACTAAGATATTCCACAACATACATCTAGGTGATTTGGCAGTATGGGTCGTAGCGGTGTCGGATTTGCAAAGGGTCCGTGCCTTGGAACAGTGCCATTTGCGGATCGGCCATTGGCCAGCAAACAGCCAATCTACACAGGCCCCCTCCCAAAAGCCAACAAGACATAGTGTAGCTAGTCGTAAGCGAAATAGACGTCCGTTACCACGGTTCCGGCGAACTACTGAACTCGGGCAACAGGCAGCCCGGCACTTGCATGTAGTCCACAACCAAGCACAAAAAATTGTAAGAATTGCAGTTGGTTGCAAGGATTCATTGCAGGATGCCAAATACTTGCAACAAGCCTTCTTCATGCCTTTCCACAAAGCTTACCAACACGTTTTGGCGCATCGTCGCGCAACCTTTGGCCAGTCTGGGCCACTTGATTTGCGAGCTGCATGCCTCAAACCGCTTTTTGCTTGTTACCTTTGCAATACCAAAGATGTGTCGTGGGATTCTATCCGGCAGCGCTGGGGGCTGGGTTCAGAACCAGCTGGTTGTGAAGCTGTGGTTGCTCTCCGTACTTTGCTTGCGCAACCATCATCCCGCTTGCGGGCCAAAGGCGTGAAGGCATGCGATGCCTGGCTGAGGCAACATGGTTTGCCAGGAAGCAAAAGAGTAAAAATCAGATGGCCTTCAGCCTTGCCTCGTTGTGTGTTCAAAGCATGTTTGGAAGATGTTCGCAGAAACTTGAGGAGTGTGACTTCCCCCTTACTGTCCAGTTGGTGGACCCAGAATGTGCAAGCTGTAGTGCCACGGCGAAAAGCTTACACGTCGAGGTGGAAGCACATTCAAGCATGTCGTAACATGAGGGATGCCGGGTTGTTTCACATGCCGCTGGAAGCGTTGCAACTGACCCCATCTGACGCTAGACAAATGAAGCTTTGTAAGTTGTATTGGAAAACCCCCATGTTAGAACCCCCCAGGGTTGCTGCCGTGCATGCCATGCTTAGTGTCAACAAATGGTTGCAAGCGCTTCCGCGCCCTGGTGGAGCCACTTGGAAAAGACATATTCAAGGCTGGCTGTGGTCACGTGCGAAAAGTGAATGCAATGATTTTACCCAGCACTTGGCTTATGCCGAGAAATTGACAGTGCCACAAGGCCACGTTGCTGTTCAAGAAGACAAAGACAAAGCTGCTTGCTGGATCATGCCTGTGACAGTTTATCACAAGCTGCTTGTCCTCATGGTTAACCAAGATAAACATCACTGGCTTCCCCACAAAGGTCTCATTTGTGATATTATTGAAACCTATAGAGCGCAGCACGAACAGCGGCTGCCGCCACACCTCCAACCGTTTGCTTTGCGCAGCCGTTGGCGAAAGTGGCAGCTTCCATACATGTACATCAATATCAAAACCAAATGTTTTGAGAGTGGTGTAGGACGTGTTTGTATTAAACCTTCGCATGCATGCTGCCGCCGTGTTGTTAGTTGGGCTGCTCACCCGTGCCGTTGGATGTATAAACAGAATGCAAAATCACTTGAGGCTGTTGTTCGGCTTTGGGGCAAAGGGTTTGAAACTGCTGATTTGTTTTCGGCGGTGAAAGACTTGCGGGGTGCTGTTGCCCAACTCGAACACCAACACTCTTTCACATGTGCTTGCTTTCGCTGCGGTGCCCCTAAGCAGCCGCTGTGCGCGTGGGTTGGTGACGCGGCCCAACTTTTTGAAGAAATTTCCAGACATGAAGTCCTCCATCGCCTGCGAAAGTTGATAACTGAACTCCAGAATACTTCAAATGCTTTTGGGGTTGTCACAAAGAAGAGTCGTAAGCTACATTTTTGGTTTGCCAGAAACAACTTCAGACCATCTCAGGGTGCAACGCTCCACCGCTGGGACGATATAATCACCATTACGGATCTTGCCCTTGGCCAAACATGCGTTCAAGTTGGGCCATGTGTGTATGAGCAGTGCAGAGGAGTTCCTATCGGTGGCTTTCTTTCAAAACAGTGTGCGTCCATTTTCCTCGGTGTGTCTGAACAAGCTTTTGTAGAAAAACTTGCGCGTGATGAAAACAATGGGTGGTGTCCCCCTGGTTTCTCTTTTCAAAACACGGTTGCTGCCACAAGATATGTTGATGACCTTGCACTTGTTTCGACAACCTTGTGCTCTGCTTGCCTCGGTGAGTTGCCCGGCCATATTTATGACCAACCTGTTTCATTTGACGAAACCAAGCCATCTGAACTTGGCTTGCCCTGGTTGGATGTATGGCTCACGTGCAGCGGAGGTGATTTGAATGTACATGCACATGGCATGGAGCATGCATGGCGGAACGAAGCAGCGCTTGGTAGGGTCAGCTTGCCGACCAAGTTCCGCTTGATGCCTTTCCAAGGGCATGCCATGTTAGATGTGAGCTTGCTCAGTGCGATTCTCAATGGAAAGCTTAACCGGCTGCTGTCCCTTGATTTGTCCGCGAACGACATGAAAAGAGCTGTAGAGTGTGAACTCCAAATTTGGTTGTTGCATGGATATCCACTTCAAACGATTTTACACATTTGGCGACGTGGCAAACGTTTCCCTGCTGCAATCACGCATGGCCGGGAAGTATTGGAACACGCTATTCGAAACTGTGGACCGACCGCGTGTGTTCCAATGTCATGCTGAAATTGTTGCTTGTGGGCTATAATTCAGCCAAAATCTTAAGAGTTGTTTGTTGTTCACTTCCTGAAAAATACTTACCCCTAAAACCCCCCCAAAAAGAAAATATATATATATATATACAATAGCCAAACATTGCAGAAATACCGGCTCAGCTCGGGGCCTGCCTACACCGTAAGCGAGAGGTCTACGCGGCCATGGGGAAAGGTGGCTACGGAAAGGGTTGGTCCCGAGGTAGATCCTGGCACCGTAGCTCCCAGTGGCAAGATGGCAACTACTACCATGGATGGCGCAAGCCGGCTTGGCAGCCCGAGAGTCAGCACCATGACTCTTCACTCAGCAGGTTGGCTGGTGGAATGCTGACATCTGCTTGGGATGGTGTTTGCTCTGGAGTGACTGCTGCGGCCTTGAAAGCCGTTGAACATACTGCAGGCGCCTTCTTCAACAAGGATGGCAAGCAGACTGTTGACCAAGGTGCGCAAAGCATCATGGCTTGTTTGGCAGGTAGCGCTGCAGACCCCCCGCCAGCGCAAATGAGTGCTCCTGCCCCAAAGCCCGCAATGCCTGCGGACAACCCAGGGCCTGACCAGCTCATGTTGTCTGTGCTTGAGATGCAAAAGCAACAGATGCAGCAGCAGACCATTCTCCAGCAGCAGCTCTTGCGTCTCCAAGAAGCGCAATCTTCTCCTCCCAGCAGCCTTGCGCAGAACTTCCGAGCGCCTGTGCCCGCTCGGAGCAAGAGCCGACAGAAGGCGTCAACCCCAGCAAGTGTCCCTTCGACGCCAGCTAGCACTGCAGCCCCAAAGCAGAAAGCCAAACGACCTGCAGCAGGCAAAGCAAAGGTGAGCAAGACTGGGCGCCGTGTGCGTGCCGGCTCCCTTGCCAAGCCAGGCCCGAAGACTAAGCCAGGCCGGTCTGAGTGACTACATCGGCTAGCCGGTTGGATGTCAGCAGCTGTGGAAAATTTGATTTGGGCATGCCTTTTCCAACTCTGCCGCTTAGCCTTTCTGTCGGGCCTGTGCCTTTGCATGCTTCGGCTGAATGTGTCTCTGGCATATGCAAACTTGGAAAGTGCAGGGATTTTGGAGAGTTTGAGGTTGGCCAGAACTGCGCTGACTGAACTGGCAGAGTCCTTAGCAACCAATGCCCGCCTTGCAAGCACTGCTGCTGAGAGCTACAGCGTAGCTGAGCTGCCCCTTTTCACTTCGATGGGTGGGTTTTCCCATGTTGCCATCGATGCTCTTAGTCTAATTGCCAATTTCTGGCCACATGCCAGACCAACTTTGCAACAGATCCTCTTGTAACTTGTTTTGCTTCCTTTTGGCGTTTTATTTTGACTTCCTTCAACTTTGTGATATTGGTTGCTGCGCAATTCATTGCCATTCAGAGGTTCAAATCCAATTGTCCATATTTGTAGGCCACACTGCAAACCAACTCCTTGTAGTGTTACCAGCTCTGGCGCAAACCGGGCTCAAGCCAGTAGAAGGTGGCGGTGGCCAACGGAGGAAAAGAAACTGAGTTACCAGTTGGAAGAGACAGAACAAAAATATATATTGGGAATAATAATCCCAACTGACTTTCATATTTTTCAGACTGGGTCGTGAGGCCGTCTCTTTCCGCCTCACGGCTCCACCATAAACAGCCATAAACAGGTGCGCGACGTGGTCATTTGGGGTCGGCCCAGCATCAGCCTGGGATCCCAGCGAGCCCAACGGAGGTGTCTTCCAGGTGAGGAAATCCCCAAAACATGGCAACAACCCTGGTAAAACACTGGCAAAACCATGGGAAAACAATGTCATAGCCATGGTAAGGCCATGATTTTAGTGAGTGTGTTTGAACTTTTTGATGTATTTGTTCTGGGGATGTCAACCACGAATTGAGAAGCTTGGCCTTGGTGGAATATGCGGAAGATATGGATTCACCGTGCCGTAGTGATGTCGTGTGCTGTTGAAATGGCAACCCCAGCAGCGAACACCAGAGTCCGAGTCCCCAGCGGATGATGATCCCAAAAGACAGCCAATGGGCTTGTCTAAGAATAGGGTACCCCACTCCATTCACTGGTTGATTATCGATGAATTCATCTATTATCATCTATTATCTATAATTCAGCCAAATTTAAATTGAGACTATTTTCCCCTTGTAGGTGAATTCGGTTGGATTATTTTCATATATGTTCACCATTTGACCGATATACATCGATATAAGATATTAAATGGTTTCCCATTGATATCAATTGATTTATATATATATATGTCTATATATAAACCATTTGTTTGCCATTGCTGTAAAACCATATTTTTATAATATGGGAAACCATGAAAAAATTGCTATGTATCCCCACCATCCATCCGCGCTTTCCCGGATTTTTCAGGTTGGCCCTCGATTCCACCGGTGCGCTGGAAGCCTCGTACGAGCTTGGCGACTGGGATGAAGTCTTGGATCTGGAGCTTGATTTCCATGGGAAAATATGGGAAAATCTGGGAAAATATGGGAAAATATGGGAAAATCACAATTTTTAATAGGTAAACCATCTATTTCTATGGGAAATTTTCCATGGCTATGTGAAATAACCAGATGGTAGCAGAAAAACTATGCTGATTTTCCATGGGATTTCATGGGATTTATTGGGCCGGTGTTTTCCTAAGTCATGGGGAAAAAAAATTGTCGTCATGAGAAACTCAGCGACCCTGTCGTAGTATTATGTAGTATTGAATAGCCATGATATATCAAAATTTGACACCCATGATACATAAAAAAATAAGAAAATTATGCACCATGGGGAAAATCATCCCGTGATCAAAATATATACCCTCTGGTTATGACTAACATAGCCATGGTATAGATGGCCCATAGAAATAGATGGTTTACCTATTAAACATGGTGGATCTTTCCATGGCGAACTGTTAAATAGCCAGAGGGTATATCAAAATGGGATCCCCCCCCCCATTTCGTGCAAATCCTTGGTTTCGCGGTCAACGATTTGGATGATCATTTTCCCAATGGGCATCCACTGATAAAATCCGTAGGGAAGAATTGTTGAACAGCTCCTTAGGCGAAGCCAAGAATCTATGCCAACCAAGAAAAAAGTGACATCCTATTAAAGATATTAAAGTTGCAAACATATGCAGTTCTAACTTTTCAATCTTTTGTATCTTTTTTTGAAATCTTCTTCTTTCTGGGGATTATTACACACATGAAAATTAGGGAAAAAACGCCATCGAACACGGGGAAATACAGAAAAAACATGGTGATGTTAAGATCAGAAATTGGGGTTCAATCATGAAACATGGTTAATCAGTATGGCAAGGGGAGAACGACCATGGCTGGTTGGTGGTTTTTCATGTTTTTTCGACCTTTCCCTCCCTGCTTACGCAGTCCGGGGGGGGCCTGGTGATCTAAGGCGCGCTTGGACTTCCTGCAGCAACGTGACCCCCTGTCCATGACTCCAGGCGGGGTGTTTCAAACAACAGGATTGTTGGGATGAATTTCTGGTCTATTTCCTATGTGAGGACATATTATATATAGATATAATTATAGATACACATAGTAGATGTATATATTTGTATGATGTCGTATGTCTATTTGTATGTATAGTAGATGTAAAACCACCTCCAGCACGGTGTTTTGCCATGCCCAGGTAATCCACCATCTGGTGAGAACCCAGAAGACAACAACTTCTGAAACTGGGCGGTTGCTTTTGACCATTTCGGGCTTTTTTGGGTGTGTTTCACAACCCACTGAACCCGTTTCACACGTGGCCGTGCTGCCACAAAAATCCATGGCACCCGAGTGAAGAGAACGCGGGAGCGTCTCAAAAAGAACGCGGGATTGTGTGGGTCGTGGGTATGGGTGAAAATCTCAGACCCTTTTGGGCACACATTGTTTTAGAGTTCTGGTTAAACCGTTTGTTTGAGTCGTAGCATCCAAGCATCAGGATCTCGTTCATGGCAGTGATGGCCCAAAGCGATGATTTAACCCCTAAGATTGGTTGGTTAAATACCAAGCATATCAAACATGACGAATTGGTGAGTTTATCAGCATCTATCTTTGAACATAGCAGGCCATACATGGTGCTGGAAGAAAGATAATGCATCTAAAGACCAATATACATGATGCAATCGAAAACACACACACACACATAATCTCAGACAATCTCAGAATATATGATTATATATGTATATATATATATGTATGTATCATAAGATACATAATATATGATAATATATGTATATATATATTTATGTTCAACTGGTTGATTTTCCTTCTATACTGGTCGAGGAGTACAGCTGGATCGCTCACCAATAGCCATCAATCTCCGCAGCTCCTTCGAGCATGAGCCAAGCAGAGATGATTTTTTGCCCATGAATTCGTGGAAGTACACGGGGGTTCAGGTAGGGATTTGCTTACCTTTAGAGTCTTGACCCCCAAAAAAGTTCAGTTCCTGAAGAAGATTCTTCCCGAAAAAAGACCGGATGATTTATGACCTTAAACAATGTGCCCATTTATAATATTTATTACCATTGCGTATTTGTGGGTCCATTTTTTCTTTGGATTCAGAATAAAAGACTTGGTCCATTGGTCGATCTCGATGGACGTGGAATTCGAGTTGTCGCAGCAGTTGCAGGGCCATGAAAGTCAGGTGCGGATGCAGGGATGCAGGGCACCATATGAGGTTTTCCAATCATCCAATTTAGACCATTTTAGTATTGAAACCCATGGTCCATATGGTGACTTGGGAATTCCCCATGACTTAAGAAACCTCCATATCTCATATCTCTCTACATTATTCATGATGATAATGGACATGCATGGAGATTCATGAATGATCATTACTGTATATCAATATATATTTTTTCCCATTTATGTATATTAGTAATACATCCAGTACATTAATTTTCTATAATTGCATATATGGATGTGTATTGATATCCATTTATGTACATTAGTATACATGAATGTATTGTATCAACATCAATATCCATTGATGTTGGTTGAAATCCCAGCGATTTCTTTTTCGGGCGCACCGGCTGGCCCCTTTCCGCAGGTGCGCTGCCTGGCCCTGCTGTCGGATGGAGCGTGGCTTGGCTGTTCCTGCGTGGCCCGGGGATGGGTCAACTGATTTGGGAAGATATGGATTTTATGATGATTTAATGGTGATTTAGTAGGATTTAATGGTGATTTGATGGGATTTAATGGGATTTTAATGGTGATTTAATGGTGATTTAATGGGATTTAATGGGATTTAATGGTGATTTAATGGTGATTTAGTAGGGAGATAGTAGGATTTAATGGTTTTAATATGATTTAAAGCTTGATCTTTAATATGGCAATGATTGGATGCAATGGGGATAGAGAAGGATATTAATGGTGATTTAACCATTGAACGCAAGGGCTTCAATAGGATATGAATTGGGATTTCATGGGATATACATACCCAAGCGTTTTGATATTTTGGTGTGTCAAAAAGTTGAGATTCAACAATTCAACCACTTATTTTTTTGGGTACCCATATTCTCAGCAAAGCCCAAGTCGGTACGGACATGGGGGGACCCAATTTGTGCTATCTTGATAGGGGAAAATGGTGATGAACCATTGCATTTGAGTATGGGTCAAGTTATTTTTTGGATACCTATGGTGATTTTTTTTTCTGTTTTAGTCAGGGAATATCATCCATTCTAAAAGGGTTGATAATTGAAATGGATGTTAAATGGTGGCCCCTGTTATCATTGGTGAACCTGCCGGGAGATCAACATTTGGAACTGGCTTGGGTGGCAACAAGTGGTTTTGCACTATATGGGCCTGTCTGAAAACAGCGGATAGCCACAAAGAGCCATTTTCATAGGGACAATTATGATCTATTTTCAGACCAACCCATGGTTTGTCGGATGTAGGGTGCTTTTTATCTTTGAGAAACAAGAACTTCGGAGAGTGGAACTGTTCGACTGCGACTTGGACTGCGGCATTTTTTTTGTCAGATTCTCTTACTGCTCTGATGATTTGCAATGCAAGGCTGGTGTCTGGCGGACTGGATTCGCAGGCCAGGGGACCTTTTTCACATGTTGAAAAAACACCGAAGGCTTGTCTCCTGGTTGAGATGTAGAACGTATGGAACGTCTCAAACTTGGGTGTCCAAACATACTGCTAAGGATTGGCCATCATTTGTCATTGAACCATGCAAATCTGGGACAACTTTTGAGCCATCCATGCCATGCACTTTTGAGGTCATAATTTGGAGGAGACCAAGCGAGGGAGAAGGCTTTGTCCTGGAGAAGAAGCTCAAACTGCACACGGACTTTGCACCAGCCTCGGTTTCTGCACTTTTGATACAGATCTATCATGATCTATCCACCTCTGTGTCCCCCAAATCACCTAAAAGATATAATCCCCCATATTATGAAATCATATAGCCATCATATAGCACGAATCACTAATCTACCACAATGATGTGAAACATATCAGGTAATACCGGTATACCATTTCAGTTTGGACCTGAGGTGTTCACTTTGGCTGCGTCGCACTCAGAGAAGGGCTCTTTCTACTCAGGGTCCAAGGAGAGCCCAGGGAGAAGATTTCACGGGGATTGGGGATGTTTCATGGGATATGTATAAATTATATATATATATATTATAGACTATTGAGATAAGTCATAGTTTTAAAGACCAAACAAGAAGCGGCACGCCAGGAATTGCGATTTATCAACCAAACCAGGAGAAGACATTTTGAGAAACTGTCATATACAATTGTACACCCAGCTATTACAATGGGATGTATTAGGATAGTGTAAGTGTCTATATCCTCCTATCTATCTATCTATCTATATATATATACATATCATATATATATATATATACATATCCTCTATAACTGGGTTATAAACGCCTGGCTGTCAACTTGCGAGTTGTGACGCCGCGTTTTTTTTTCGTTTCCATGTGATTGATTGGGTGAGGACAGAACTGCTTTCAAGTGCGATCGCGAGGGCAATCCTTGCTCGAGCCTCGGAGTGAACAAAAAAACCACTGGAATACAGACTGGAATATAGACAGTAGAAATCCCAAAAACCTGAAATTTCCTGAGGTGTGAAAGAGAATCCAACAGTCCAACATGAAATTTTGAAAGCAACAGCGCGTTGTGACACGGCTGAGGCATTCAATTCCAAGGTCATGAAGGGTCATGAGCCCAGAGAGGTTTGTTGATGTTGGTGGTTTCAATTATAGCTTGAAAACATATGGGTGGTAATTACTAACAATCATGAAGATGCAAGCAACAATACGGCGAATATACTCTGATTGGTGGATTCTGTTGCTATTTGGGCTGAGACCGGTGTGCTCCATCGTAGAAATTGGTGCCAAGGCGCGCCGTGTTTTCACGCCATGGGGGATTTCACCGTAACGACATTTAAATATGTGGAGGGGGGGCCAGACCGCGAGGCTCCGGAGGTAGTATGAAATACCAGTTTGTATATTTAAAAGTCCGTACATTTATATAAATGTAGTTACCGTATACTTTTGCATATTTTTGATCGATGTAATCAATGTAAACAGGGATTGGTAAATGTCCCATTTTGGGTATATTGGACATCACCTTATAGTAGCCATTATAGACCATATACCTAATGGTTGGGTGATGTTCAATGGGGACATTTAATGACCCATGGTAAACCTTTCACCTCAATTCGGATCTTCTGGGACATTTCGGTGGATTCTTGAGGCTCCCTTCATGTCTGACAGGTGGTGACTGGAGCGTGGGACGGCAAGGCGAAGGTCGATGGGTCTGGTGGGCTGGATTCAGCTCCAAGAGATAGAGAATCCTTCAACGATGACACCGAAAGGTTCGAGTTTTGCTTTTGCAGAAAGTAAAGATGATCGGCCCAACTGCCCACTAGAAAATCAACATGGAACCCTCCAAGACCAAAGAATCCAAACCATTTCAAAGCTGGATTTGCAAACCGTGACTCCCGGGTTCGAAACCATCGAAACCATCCATTTTTTGCGGGTCCATATGGGGATGGGTCAAAACCCTGGTACCTAGTGAACATCAAAATAGCTGGTAAATGGATGTTCATCACCTAACAAATTGTATCTATAGGTATTGGTCCATAGCCATATCAGTTTTCCAGCATTTTATCGGTACCCTAGGGTCGATCTTTCGATCTTCCAGCCTTCTTCAGATTTGGGATACCAGCAATGGCACCTGCTTGCTGACCCTGGATGCCGGTGGGGGTGCTGAGAATATGGGTACCCAAAATGAGGGGTTTATAAGGGGAAAATCCGCCTAAAATGTATGGGTCAATCAAACTTGGTTCAAATTTGACTTTCCCTGGAAACCAGAGTTTTTTTTTTTTCTGGTCATAAACAATCCCATTTTGGGGGCACCGAATATTGGGACACATACCAAACTCAGGGACAGTCTTGCTTTCTCATGACCATTGTAGAGCTTGACTTTTGGGGTTGATTTTGGATCACTCCGTTCAACTTTCGGGCAACACACACGCACACAAGAGGCAAGTTCTCAGAAAACTTGACATTTTTTCACCTGAGGAGCACACGCCGTTGCAGTCGCCACTTTGCCCACTGGAGAGATTGTCACAGGCTCTCAGGACAGGAGTGCAGTTACTTGATAATCAATCCTAGAGTATCGCATTGACAAGGACTGGAACCGTTCGAATGTCCATCAAGTTCGGAAACATCCCGTGGTGTCACCTTTTTCCCCAAAAGGTAAGCGATTTGCTACCTGTACGACCCAGTTGCCTTTGCAGGACAAGACTCTGCGTGTGTTCCGTGGGGAGTCGTGTGTGCACAAGATCGACGAGGACAGACACCTCGCCGGTGGAGGTGATTGTGATTGATGAAGATGAAGATGAAAATGATTATTATTATTATTATGATGATGATGACGATGATGATGATGATGATGATGACGATGATGAAGATGAAGATGAAAATTAATATTATGATGATGATGACGATGATGATGACGATGATCATGACGACGACGATGATGATGATGATGATGATGATGATGACGATGACGATGATGATGACGATGATGACGATGATGATGATGATGACGATGACGATGATGATGACGATGATGACGATGATGACGATGATGATGGCGATGATGATGATGACGATGATGATGACGATGATGATGGCGATGACGATGATGATGATGACGATGATGATGATGATGATGATGATGACGATGCTGACAATGATGATGATGATGACGATGATGATGACGATGATGATGATGATGATGACGATGATGACGATGATGATGATGATGATGACGATGATGATAATGACTACGATGATGACGAGGATGATGATGACGATGATGACATGATGATGATGATGACGATGATGATGACGATGATGATGACGATGATGATGACGATGATGATGATGATGATGATGATGCCGATGCCGATGATGATGATGATGATGACTACGATGATGACGATGATGATGATGATGACGATGATGATGATGACGATGATGATGGCGATGATGATGATGATGACGATGATGATGATGATGACGATGATGATGATGATGATGACGATGATGACGATGATGATGATGACGATGATGACGATGATGATGACGATGATGATGACGATGATGATGATGACGATGATGACGATGATGATGATGATGATGATGACGATGATGATGATGACTACGATGATGACGAGGATGATGATGATGATGATGATGACTACGATGATGACGACGATGATGATGATGACGACGATGATGATGATGATGACGATGACTACGATGATGACGATGATGATGACGATGACGATGCTGACATGATGATGACGATGATGATGACGATGATGATGACGATGATGATGACGATGATGATGATGATGACGATGATGATGATGATGATGACGATGATGATGATGATGGTGACTGACGATGATGACGATGATGATGATGATGATGACGATGATGATGATGATGACGATGATGATGATGACGATGACGATGATGATGATGATGACGATGATGATGATGACGATGACTACGATGATGACGATGATGATGATGACGATGGTGACATGATGATGACGACGATGATGACGATGATGATGATGATGATGATGACGATGACTACGATGATGACGATGATGATGATGATGACGATGATGACATGATGATGACGATGATGACGACGATGATGATGATGATGACGATGATGATGATGATGATGACGATGATGATTTTGATGATATATGACGGCGACGATGACGATGATGATGACGATGACGATGACGATGATGATGATGATGATGATGGTTTTGATGATATATGACGACGACGACGATGACGATGACGATGACGATGATGATGATGATGATGATGTATGACGATGATGACGATGATGATGATGACGATGCTGACATGATGATGACGATGATGATGACGATGATGATGATGATGACGATGATGATGACGATGATGATGATGATGACGATGATGATGATGACGATGATGATGATGATGGTGACTACGATGATGACGATGATGATGATGATGACGATGATGATGATGATGACGATGATGATGATGACGATGACTACGATGATGACGATGATGATGATGATGATGATGACGATGGTGACATGATGATGACGACGATGATGACGATGATGATTATGATGATGATGATGACGATGACTACGATGATGACGATGATGATGATGATGACGATGATGACATGATGATGACGATGATGACGACGACGATGATGATGATGACGATGATGATGATGATGATGATGATGACGATGATTTTGATGATATATGACGGCGACGATGACGATGATGATGACGATGACGATGACGATGATGATGATGATTTTGATGATATATGACGACGACGACGATGACGATGACGATGATGATGATGATGATGATGATGATGTATGACGATGATGACGATGACTACGATGATGATGACGATGATGATGATGGTGATGATGATGATGATGATCTTAATGACTGCATACCAATCGTAATGATATATCTTATATGATGATATTGATATATGTATAAGTCTAGAACAATATTATCCAGATCCTAAGTCACTATGTAGTCATACTAATCAGAATGATGATTGCTTACTGGTACATTGGGTCATTGAGTCTTCACAATGTCCAGTCATTATTGGTTGATTGAGTGGGATGTATCAATAAGACTTGAATAGAATTGAGTACATTGGGTCTGCAAGGGATATTATAGTCCCAATCTGGTTGGTGGTTTGGAACATTTAATTTTTTGTTTTTCCATATATTGGGAATGTCATCATCCCAACTGACTTTCATATTTTTCAGAGGGGTAGGTATACCACCAACCAGTTGTAGTCCCAATATGTCCCAATATGTCCCAATCAGAATTGGCATTACTGGCGAGGCGCATGGTGACATTATTCGTCCAGCCCTCAGCCGCTGTCCATGGGTCTGAAGCCCTCAGCCGCACGTCACCTTGCCGGAATTGGCGTAACAGACACCAGATTTGCATGGCATTTACAGTAGCATTGCTGTAAAATAAACGATAGTAGATAGGGGGTATACCATTGAACAAGTTCAGAAGTTGTATGTGGATGTGAATGGTATCCGAAGACAGTGGTAAATGATTGCACACAGCACGCAGCGCACAAGGTGAGGTCAAAATCACTAACCAGCTCATCAAACGTTATCTCGATCTCCATTTATTGGGTAAACTCCTCCATTCTCCTCCATATTCTTTTTGCTTCCAATATCTTCCAATCCATTTCCATTCAACAAAGTGAAATCCAACATTTGTTCGCAATATATTCAGCCATAGATCAGCACATATCAACACCAATCTTCCAAAAACAATCAACATATTTCCACCAGGAACACACATATATATATATACACAGCACCCGACAGAATTATGGAAAAAAAACCGTTTCAATTTACAGGCGCCGCCTGTCTATGATAGAAAAGCTACGAACCTTTTTTTTTCCATAATTATTTTTTCCATAATTATTTTTTTCCATAATTCTGTCGGTGACTGTATGTCCATCGATTCGCAATTTGAATGCATTTTAAGGGGGAATATTGAATTATAGAAAATATGTGTCTAAAGATCTGGTATATGCCCCTAAGTCTTCCATTGATATACAATTGCACCACCAAAATTCATTATTGTACGTACATACATATGCGGGATGTATCCTTTTGCCAAGCCACCAATTGGGTTGATACTACATACTTGCATTTGCATACATATTTCCATAACCCCCCAAAAAAAGGGGTTTGAATTGTGGATCCATGACATGTCCAACAGGTGGAGCCCCAAACGTTAATTATGGAAAAAATAATTGTGGAAAAAATAATTATGGAAAAAATAATTATGGAAAAACCGGTCAATCTGCCCTAGCCCCCTGATTTTACAGGAAAAATCAATTATGGAAATAATGGCCACCTCCAAGAATTATGGAAAAAAAAAGGTTCGGATCACTTCCGGGATATTTTGAACCCTTATGGGGAAAAACCCAATTATGGAAAAATCGGACGCAGGCGCCGCCTGTCTAAGTTGAACGTTTTTTTTTCTCCATAATTCTGTCGGTTACCATATATACATATAATTATATATATATATACATACATACCCTAGCCTTACAAAGACTATTTTGAAAAAGGTTTGTCTCGGAAAGACCATTTCACCATAGTGCTCGGGGAGACCATTTCGCACATGACCCCCCCCACCAATCACGCTCAAACATGGACGGTTTCTTTTTCTACTCATCCACAAAGCTCTTCATCGAAAGGCACGCTTTTTCAACCTCAGATTTCGAGTTCATTTTGGATTGTTCACTGCATTTTCTGTAAAAACAGCAACAAGATGGTACGGCGGCATGATATGCATTGAAGAAGCTGGTGCATCTTAACCTTCATAAGTTTGAGCCTGCCAGCATTCTCTCTAGTGTGTTGGTTGACAGACCCACCATTTGATCATAACTTGTGTAACGCAAAACACCCCAAATCAGTTGGTGGCTTGGAAATGTTCAAACATTCTGGCTGGCCTCAAGCGCTGGCATCTCAGAAGCCACAAAGGCCGATGGTGTGGATGTGAATACTTGGCACAACCTTAACTGAAAAAGCTGGTTTCCTTGATAAGGGATTAAGTCACATCAGCATAGTACTACCAACAATCTGTAAAGGTATGCCAATAGCGCGGGTTTTTTCCTGACAAGGGGGCTGGGCCTACAGATGTTTTGTGACAACAATGTAACAAAATCTAAAACCACAACACGGAGCAATAACAACCAAAACCAAGTTGGACAGGTGGGAACTATGAGTCACCCATACCATCTTGGAAATATGTTAATCCTGCTAGGGAATTATGGTTCATTATTAAGCATAGGTTTATATCCCAATGGCGTCGGTTTCAATAAACACAATGTATAAACAATGATCTTCATATGAAGTTTGCTCTCCCACCATCCACTAAAATACGAATGTACCCACATATGCTCCAAAGATTATTTTTGGTGCCGCTGCACCGCTTAATAGCTATTTTGCCATGTTTTTTGAAAATTCTGGTTATCCCGCGAAATACCTAACATGAAAACAATAGAGGTGAACCAACACATCACCCATGGTTGCAGATGTAGCCCGCATCGCGCAGAAAGCACAAGGCTCTGAACCGCAATACATCACGGCAAAGATGTATCATAGCCTCACGATCCAAGTTGGGTCTAAAACATTATCAGATTTGATCATTTAAGAAGCTCATCAAGGCACCAGGCACATCGCTTACATTGAAAAATGCTACTGCAACCTAAGGTCGTGGTATTTTGGCTTGATCAAGAACATGTGTTTCTTGTGCTGGACGTTGATGATGCTCAGAGCCCGGTATGATTTCAAGAAGGCTCTTCCTTCATCATGCAGTTTTCTGGCCTCCACTGGCGTCCTCAGATTTCTATTGAAGCCGGGGAATGGTGACCAGATAGGATTCGAAACATTTACAAATCACACCAACATTTTGTGATTGGTGGGGGGTTCATCCCCGAAATGGCCTCACCGAGCGCTATGGTGAAATGGTCTTTCCGATACAAACCTTCTTTAAACTAGTCTTTGTAAGGCTAGGGAAAATATAGCTCACAAAATCAAGAATCAACTCGCGTGGGTTGTTCTCGCAAACCCAAAACGATCTTGCCATGCTGTTCCTTGTCCGTTGGCAGAGCAATGGGAAGCAAATGGAGGACCAACAGTTCTGCGGGAAATTTGGGATGTGGAACTGGTTCTGAAATTGCTTGATGGGCACATAAATTGCTATTCGGGCTGCCCGCTTGGCTGCCTTGGCGAGGGCTGTCTGTGCTGTAGCCGACACCATGGGTGCCTAGAGATTGAGCCACACTAAGATGAAGACATAAAATGGTTGACTGCTACTGAATCATACTTGGCAGGTAGTCCACTATCCCCCGTGTTGGATATCTCCATTTGGAAAATTCACTATTTCATAGTTGGCCACCTGGGGGTATCCAATATGGGAATGTCTCAATATAGTGGCACCCGTATTATAGAAGGAATAGGGTTATCTCAATTTGGCGGGGCTATTGGGTCAATTCCACCATCTCCTAAGAAAGGCTTTGGAATAGTCAAGGGTATTTGTTGGTTTGCCACCCCTTGCCAAACGACATGGAAACATAATACAGCAAGCTTGCAATATGTGCACCACCTGTGTGCTCTGGAATAATCAAAGTTGTTTGCATTGACCAGTGAAATGGTCGACCAAGGCTGCTGCTACCAGGTAAATTCCAGCAAGATTCTCCTTCGAGACCCACAAGCACAAAATTCATGATTTATTCTGAAAAAGGCGGTTTTTGGGAAAATGGTGGTTCACGTTTAAAAACGGTCGTTCACGTTTAAAAATGGTCGTTCACGCTATTTTGACGCAGTTTCACGCTTTATTCGCGCTTAGGCCCCTGGTTTACCAAATCCAAAAAATCCCAATGTTGGCCTTCAATTTGGGGAACGTAGGAACCATGTCTTTTAACTACGTAGCGTTTGGTTGCCCGAACATCAAATTGGATGGATTGATTAGCAGCAGAGCCTGCTGGAATTTGCCCTATTTGCCAGACCCTGAGATTCTCAGGGAATATGGCTTCGGGTGGCGGCTCTGAAAAAAGCCATGACCTCCCAATTTGATTACTCCCTTTAATTCATGCCGCACTTGGCTGCTAACCTCATTTAGAGGTCGAGGCCTTCGGTAAATTGAGGGTGAAACCTACCAGACCTGGCTTCATATTCCAAGAAGGACTTGATGTCCCCAAGTGCAGCGTGACGCCACATGAACGGCGCCTCCACACAATTCCAATGACATTGGGTGGTTCCTGCTGTGAAAGCATACTGTTGTATGTATTTTGCCAATACTCTATGATATATCGATCCACTTAAAATATATACCCCATTCTCAGATCAAAATGCCCCAGGGGGTGCCTTGAACACTTTACCTGTGAGATCCAGGCTGTTCTCGTAAGAGCTTGCCGAAGTGGATTTGGACTGTGGCGGTTCTCAGCCTTGCTGGCCAGGTCTGACAAGGGAAGAGGGCATCCTACTTGAACCCATTCAATTTCAAGTAAAACAAAATGCATCAACTGCAGTTTCCTGGCTAGTCAATTAAGTTCAAATGGGCCTTTCCCATAATGGGGTATAATCGAACTTACTTCAAAGGATTAAATATGAAATACTTTCGAGTAGATACCCACATATATCAAGAGCTGAGGTCGTGGCAGTGTATTCCCGGTGTAATGAAGCCATTTGCAATCCATACTTCGGAGGATATTGTTGGGATGCTTTTAACCCTTCAGCTCCTGACCTCAGCTGGCAGCAAGTTTGAGCAATCACGAGCACGCCTAACCCTTACATTAAATTCCTTTTCAAACCCTTAGACTGCCAATTCCTTACCATTACCACCATAATGCTTCTCTAACTCCGTGGGAAAATTTAACTTTTCAAAGATATATCTTTAACCTTTTCAGCAGAAACGATACTAAACACAATGTATGTATTACGGCAGTATTGCGCGATGGTAAAAAGACATGTTTTTTCAGACTGCGGTAACGCTAGTCTGAACCATTTGGACTGCGTGAACGCTCGTCCTTTAAGGTATTACGGCAGTATTGCGCTATGGTAAAAAGACATGTTTTTTCAGACTGCGGTAACGCTAGTCTGAACCATTTGGACTGCGTGAACGCTGGTCTTTTAAGGTATTACGGCAGTATTGCGCTATGGTAAAAAGACATGTTTTTTCAGACTGCGGTAACGCTAGTCTGAACCATTTGGACTGCGTGAACGCGAGTCCTTCAAGGTGACAAGCTGATGAACTGGCCACTGATTTACTGATTTACTGATAACCACAAATGAGTCCTTGAGTTGGCGGATTTGTTCATCTCTGGAGCGTGGTGGCGGCATGCCGGTGATGCCAAAAGCTAAAATGACTGCCGTTCTGGGTCTGGTAGTGGCAGCAGAGGGAAAAAAAGTCCATCAGAACATCCACTGCAAACGCAATCTCAACAGCATTGGTCAGAGGTGGGCGTACCATACAGCCTATAGTTTTCCTCTGCATCCACCAACAGCCCTTGCCATCGAGATGTTGCTAGAAACATTGTATTGGCTGATCCATGGGCTCATTCCATTTGCTAAGGGCGTGGCTTCTGCGAAGTGTTTTCTTCATACCTTGAGAGGCAATTAACAATGACCCACGTCAGGAATTTAAAATGTTTCAAAACCGTTTTTGCCAAATTTAATGGAACCAAGTTACTGAAAAATATGATAAAGTGAAGCAGCGCAGTGGGTGTAGCAAGGCTGCGCATGGCTCAACCAACCAAACTGGTTTCTGTCGCTCCAACCTACCCCAATTTCATCTATACATCCCCCAGATTGGTTTGAACTAATCATGTTGTTATCTTGATCCAATAGATTTTGGGGTTATGTGAGCAACCTCAAAAATTCCTAAAGTTCATGAATCTAACAAGGTCCATGACCCTGATCCAGAACGTAGCTGCCGAAACCTGACAGACTGCACCTGGCACAGCGGATATGGCGCCTGGCGGGGTGGCATGTGGCAGGGAAATATAGTGGTTTAAGGAACCACTATTAAACTAATCGTGGTTTAGGCCTAATAATAGTCGTTTGGGAACCCCCTTTTAAACAATAGTGGTTGAATCCTAGGGTATGTATTAATATATATATATATATAATTATATATATATATATACACACATAGATATGCCACTAAATCACCGGTTACATGTCTACAGCCATGCTTCAACGCGCTCGCTTTGTGGCCGATGGCCGTGGCCGCGAGGTTTCATCACGGCCAGTTCCAACTCCATGGCCACGGCCTCCAATGATGGCTCCGTGAAGCTTTGGTCCTTCGATGGCGCGGGGATGGGATGGTGGGGTGATGGGCTGGTGGGGATAGGTTAAAAGAAAACACAAACACCCAAATTGGGTGATGAACTTTGTGATGAAGTTTAAAAATCTTATGAATGCTTATTTTGTTTATGTTTAATTATGCTTTATGACCTCGAAATCCAGTGGTGGGGTGTCTACATTCTCGTCATCGAGGGCTCACGAAAGTTATGAATATACAGGCTGTACGGCTGTACATACAGAACATTACATAATATTGCTGGATTGGTGGCCTTCATGTTTGTTTGAACATGGTTTTGTCCTGAGAACCAGGTCATGTTGAGTCCTTTTTGGTTCCACCCCGCCGTCTTTCTCCTTCTACCTCGCAGGCTTGCAAATGTCTGCGCTGGGTGGTCATCAGTCCTATGTCTACGGAGTTCCTTGGCGTTTTGATGCCAGCAGCTGGTTCCAAGTGGCAATATTTTGGACCAACCTGAAGCTGCTCAGTGATAGATATTGGATGCCACGGTTCGTAGGGTGTAAAGCCGTCCAAGCCATCTGACATGCTCCCTCCACTTGGGGGTTGACTGTCCTAGTTGGTGGTTTCTCTTGCGTGTCATTTTCTTTTGTTTCCACTTTTCTTGGGATGATCCCAGTTGACCATTTGTTCCAGGTGGCATTTCAACGACCATGTCAGGTCGTTCTGGTTTGTTCATTGTAAACTCCCCATAATTTGGGCAACACCAAGCAGAACCTCTTAAATCGCCTTGGTTTCCCGGATAATTTCATCTCATTTCCCTTCAACACATCCATATAATTAATGTTTCCATTGATAAAACCACTAGGGATATGACTGGTTGGTGGTTTGGAACATGAATTTTATTTTCCCAACTGACGAACTCATATTTTTCAGAGGGGTTGAAACCACCAACCGGATGATTATGAAGCATTGTATGGAGTCCCTAATGATTTTATGTTTTTTTCAGTGATAACCCGTCGAATCTTGTTGCGCCCAGGTGGAGTACTCTGGCGACAACACGGAGATCATCTCCGCTTCAGATGACACTTGGAGAACTCGTGGGAGATCCAGCGGGGAAAATTATATGATGACAGTTCTTGTTGCTACTGTCTATTGCCATTTTTTGAACTAGTGTCCTTATGATTGAGATGGTGACATCTACTGGTATTGTAAAATGTGAAGTAGTGTTCCTATGATTGAGATACCGTGATGATCAATGATAATTGTCACTATAGAACACTATAAGTACATTTTTGAACTAGTGTTCTTATGATTGAGATGGTGATGATAATTGTCACTATAACATACTATATGTACATTTTAAACAAGTGCTCTTATGATTGAGATGGTGATGATAATTGTCACTATAAGTACAATGATTACTTGTATGTACCATCATCATTGTTATCGCTATTGATATCTATTGATTGTCATCACCACTGGTGAACCGCTATTGGTATTAGTATTATTGTTGTTATGATGATGTTGATGAGGATAGTGATGATGATGATGGTGATGATGATGATGATCATGTTCTTGTTGTTGTTGTTGTTGTTGTTGTTGTTGTTGTTGTTGTTGTTGTTGTTGTTGTTGTTGTTGTTGTGGTCGTCGTCGTCGTCGTCGTCGTCGTCGTCGTCGTCGTCGTGGTCGTCGTCGTCGTCGTCGTTGTGTTGTTGTTGTTGTTGTTGTTGTTGTTGTTGTCGTTGTCGTTGTGGTTGTGGTTGTGGTTGTTGGTTGTTGGTTGTTGGTTGTTGGTTGTTGGTTGGTTGGTTCGTTGTGTTGTTGTTGTTGTTGATGATCATGGGTCCCGCATGTTGGGGGCTGCTCAATTGATTTCCTGTTGTCCTTGTGGCTGAGGACTCCACAATGAAAGTCTGGTCCATCAACGATAGCCAGTGCAAGCAGTCGGTGATCCATGCTGGAACCGTTTGGCAGGCCGAACCATTCATGGTTTTCCGCTGCCGTTGATTTGAATGATTTTGAAAGAGAGTGAGGTCTCCAAACAGCATAGAGTCACGAAACGCCTGGAAATCATAGTAGTGTTTTTTCAGTATTTTTTTTGATGAAACCGGATGACAGTATATGACAGTCTTGAGCCATTTGATAAAACATGGATTTTTTCGGGTCAACCGGATGGTTTTTAGGCCATCCCAATGCCCAACACAGACATCGTCAGTGCCTGTGCAGACATGATCGTGCGCGCCCGGAAACTCGGGGCAGCTGGAACTGCTGGAACTGCTGGGGCCAGAGTTTGTGGAACTTCTAATGTCTTGGTAGGGTTCCCCTTCCAGCTGCATCCATCATTTTTTAGTGTTGAGGTTGGATTTCCCTCCAAATCGGAAGACCTGTCGAAAATCGCCAAAAAAATCCAACTTTTGCCGGAAATTGGTTTAAACACACTCCAATTTTTGCCCATCACAAATCGCTTTAATTCAACAAAATCCAATTTTTGCCCAAGAAAGTCACAGAATTTTGTAATGTGGTTTAAAAAAAAAATAAACCATCCATTTGGGAATGGTTTATACCACCCATAAAAATGGTGATGACTGGGGTGTACAACCTTTCCCCTTGGCAGCCATAGGTCTGGACGCGGGATCCTGCCCGGATGGCCAGTGAAGAGGAGCGCAAGACGCAGCAGGAGATCGCGCAGCAAGCTGCGGTGGCTGCGGCGCAGAAGGGATCCTCCTCGGTGCCATGGGATCCATAGGATGTTTGAGCGCCATGATTTTTATGGGTTCTTGGAGGAGAGTTTTTTTTTGATCTTTTTATATGAGTTGAGTATGATCTTATTTTATATCTTTTTGATGATGTTTAACAAGTATGTCATGATGTTTGATGATTGTGGATGATTTTTGGAGGATGTTTGATGATTTGTGGATGGTTTTTGGATGGGTAGATGGATGTTGGATGGATGTTTGAGCAGCGGAACTGCGGTGGGTCATGGCGATTCGGACGTGAGACCTCTTGGGACTTTTGAGAGAGGTGGACTGATTAGCGGTTCAGATTCGTTTGGGAAATGGGGGTTTCCATAGTCATGGGGGGACCCCAATAGCTGGATGGTTTATTTGATGGAAACTCCCTCAAAATAAGAATGGATGCTTGGGGGTACCCCCATGACTTTCGAAACCTCTAAATGTTCCATGTTCTTGTGGGAGGCTTAATTGACAATCCATGAGAACCTTCCAAACTTAGCCAGGTGCCAATGGACTCAGTGATCGATATCTCCAAAATGCCTGGCATGGTGGGTAAAAAGCTGCTTGGACGCATGCTGTGGATGGCAGCTGTTTGATGGGACCGAAAATTGATCTGGCGATGAGACATCAACTTTTTTTGGTGAGGTTGCCATTCCACATCCCACATATCCCACTCAAAATCTACACAAAACCATGAGAAGTTGAGAATTTTCAAGAGACTTCAACCTTTGCCACGTTGGATTCCGATTCTTTCAGTTTTCACCGCTTCGGATGCCTCAGGAATGGTGATGTGAAGATGTTCAACGACAACGGCACCGTTGCTTGTTCAGGTTTTCGGTCGTGATCCGAGGCCGTCAGTTTCGAATTTTTGCCTGGGACGCATTGAACGTTTTGGCAGCTGCGAATAAATGTGGCTTACCCTCTGGTAAACTAACATAGCTATTGAAAATGGCCATTTATAGTGGATTTTCCCATTAAAAATGGTGATTTTCCATAGCTATGTTAGTTTACCAGAGGGTATGTGGGTTCATGTTCCCAACCTTCGGGTGTGTCCAGTAGAGGTTAGATCCCTGTTGAATGGTCAACTGTGGGATGGGACAATGTGGTGCCGGCAGCAGTTTTGAGTTGGGAAAATCATCCCTAAAAAACAGATATCATGACGTATCCACCAGAAATCCACGACCCTCTGGTTATGACTAACATAGCCATGGAAAATGGTCCATTTATAGATGGTTTACCTATTAAAAATGGTGATTTTCCATGGCTATGTTAAATAACCAGAGGGTATATAATTCCTATAGTTCTTGAGATGTAAACCAACAGTTCTTGTTCTCTTGGAAGTTTTTCAAACGATTGCAGTAGATCTTATTAACAAGTCTTAGTTATATCATCATGTTATATCATATCATATCCACCGTAAATCTTCATCTTATCTCGTGGCCACCAACGTAAACGCCCAGGTTTTCGCCTACATGTGGAACGCTGGAGCACGATGTTGGGACAAAGTGGGAGAAGTCATGGGTGCTCCGAAACCAACACAGGCGCTTTTCACATTGGAGGAGATGGGTCAATACCTTCTATGGCCTTGGGCCTAATGTCACATGGCAAACATCATCATAACATCACCATTTCAATGGAACATATATGAGAAAATCATCTAAAACAACTTGAAATTCAATACGCTGATACTTAACACGGCTATGGATTTTCCATGGATCTGAACCGGACCACTGGCTGTAAAATCTGCCAAAGATCGTTTTTTTTTGTGCCCGCAATTCCGGGAAGCATGGCGACGAAAAATCACCATTTCAATCGGAAAATGATCCGAATCATTTGTGCATGGATGGATAAACATGGATAAACTGGATGATTGTCCATAGCCATCTTGAATGACCAGAGCAGAGGGCAAATTTCGCAATTTTGGAACCGGTATGGATCGGTATGAACATTGACAACTACCAACTATTCTGGTGTAAACCACAGGGTACTGTTCTGACACATACCCAGATGAATGTGGAAATAGGGATGTTACCTACAAAAATGGGGAAATACCTTGATTGTATGTAACCCGTGCGTGGTGGTTGTCTTAATTTGGAGGTGATAGCCTAATTTCCTAATTTATCTCCGATTTGTCATTCACCACTGATTTCTGCGAGGGCTTTTGCACTGCACCAAAAACAATACATAGTAGTGTTTACTCAGCACACAAAGTGGAGAGCAGGAATCACACATGTTTGTGGATGCTGGTAGTATCTAAATATATCTAAATTATCTTTGAATTTTGCTGGGGGCCCGGCAGTCTTGCATGGGAGACCATCTGTCATTGTCATTTGCATGACAAGCCCCTTGGAGAAAACTGCATGAGCAGCTTGCAGTATTATTTCTTGGCTATCAAGCGATGATATGGATGTGAATCTGTTGATAGGCTTTATAGATGGCTTTAGTACGTTTTGACAATCAGAGGAACCCCCAGTACATCCCAATAGGGGAGCCATGTCCAATAGCCATTGTTAGCCATAAGAAAAGGCAGATGAATGATAAGATTCTCAGTTGCTCACGTGTCCCTGTTTTCTGAAGGTCTTCTACGAAGGGGACTCCGTATTCCCAGCTGGAGAGTGACCACTGGGATGTGGAGGCTGAAGGCGGTAAGGTCGGAGTCTGATGGGTTTCGAGTTTGCTAAAACTGAACGTTTGGCTTATTTTATTTTATACAAAATCTGGTTGGTGGTTTGGAACATGAATTTTATTTTTCCATACATTGGGAATAATAATCCCAACTGACTAATATTTTTCAGAGGGGTTGAAACCACCAACCAGAAATTATAGTCCAACATAGTCCAACCTTGTGTAATCAAGCCTTGCTGGACCAGAACTTTGCAATAATCCTTAATCCTTAATTGAGTTACGACAAAACTCTTGTCCAAGTTGTTGAAAAATCAATCCTTGCTGGACTAGAGCTTTGTAGGAATCCTCAGGAGCAAGCAGCAAAAGGAAAAGAAAGGACAGGAAAGGAAAAGAAACAAGAAAAATAAGAGGTAACACCTGGCAGCACTGAGAAACATAGAAGTTAGGGTTGAGAGGTCTGGTATCTTCTGGTGTTTTTGTCCCTCTAGCTTGCCATTTTAATTGAGCAGTAGCAAGCGGGGAAAGGAAAGAAGTAAAAGGAGCGGCAGCATTAGACGGATTAGGGTCCAGAGGTTCAATATTTTCGAGGATTTTCTATATTTCTGGAAAAATTATGATAAATTGACATCACTGTAGATGATGGCCGGTCGGAGTAACTATTCCAAAATGGCTTGAATTACTCCAATTTTCTCAGATTTTTTTGAGATTGCCTAAACCAAAACTGAACATTATTTCTAGAATTTCTACGCCACGACGACGACCCGTACCCTGCAGCCTTCAGCATTCTGTTTTCACAAGGTGGTTCAAACATATGCAAAGACTGTTGGCCGATTTATAGTTGATTTACCCATACATTAAAGATGGTGATTTTCCATAGCTATGTGTTCACATGCTTTCTGGTGGGTTTGGTGCACCGTCTCAGCGTTCAGCAACCTGAAATCCTCACTGCGATTTCTGTGTTGCTCTACCTGATCCTGCGGAATGGGGTGGCGTCCAGCAGCAGATAATGGAACAAAGTTGCTTGATGGCAAATGCGGAACCATTCATGTCAAGAATCTGAAAACCAACTGTATTGACCAGAATCTGGACGCGCGGGCCCCGATTTGAGTCCTTCCTGTGTTCTTGATTTGGAAGACTGTGAACATGCGGTTGGGGCAAGGAGGCAAACATGTTAAACGCATTTAGGCACATATTATTGGAAACTTAGGAAAAAGAGGAAACAGGAAACTTGATGAAATTGAGATTTCCTGACGAAGGGGACAAGTGGACACCGGTGCCATGTGTCAAATTTAGAAAGACGGCAGCTTGCGGACAATTAGTAGGCCGGGGGCGCGTTAAAATCAGGAACGGGAAAAACATGAAAACATATGTTAAAAAACAGGGCGGGGGAAAGCATTGGGGAAATCACGTGGAAAAACATCAGGAAATTTTGCTTCGGGGATAAATTTGAGGATGAACCACGGGACCACGGGGAAAACTTCACATAAATTTCAGGTTAGGGCTAAATGGGTGTGTCAACGGCCTATCCAACAGGCAGGGGCACAAAATTCCAACCATATTGCAAAAGTGGGGTAGTTGCCAGCGCCTAGAACATGATTCCGAAACAGGTCTGTTCAGGTTTCCTAATTTGGGTTGGTTTCCGAAGTACAGTTCGAAAGTATAACCATGGTTACCCTCTGGTAATTTAACAAAAAGCTATTGAAAATGGCCATTTATAGTGGATTTTCCCATTAAAAATTGTGATTTTCCATAGCTATGTTAAATTACCAGAGGGTACTATATGTTACTATGATTTTGGTTGTGTTCGCTTTAGCTTGGCCCCCTCCTGGAAGGGTCTCGGATTGATTTCACCTTCCGGCAAACATGGCGACATTTCCCATGCAGAAGGCCGCCGCAGCCTGCGGAGGTACGATTTCGTTTTTGACATTGACATGGGGGCTGCAGTGAGCACCAAGAAATTGCCCTTCAATCGGGGACAGGACGGGGAAACGTTGGGGCTTCTTCCGCGGATTTTAGCAGAATTGGATGAAACTGACCCGAATCAGTTTGCATTTGGGATGGGCCAAAATTTATGATACATTGTGATACCATGTTTGAGGGAAAGTAAGATCCGTGTGCCAATTATTTTGACGTTGATCCATTAATATTAGCATACTAATTGGCCACTTTATTCACGAATTTGGTTGGAAATTGAACCAAATTGAAAAACATCGTTGAAACGGAAGAGTTGGTTGCAATGGAACACATTGGACAGTTAGGGTTGCAATGGAAATAAATCAATTTGCCGAACATCCTGCTTGTTGGTGTTGGGGTGGAACGAGACGAATCTACGGCATGTGCGTCTCGCCAGAACCCTCTTCAAGCGGCTGAATCGTTTTGTGCACTTCATCAGATCCACAAGAGTAACATGGAAGATATCAGGTGGAGCTGGCAGTTTGGGGGTCCAAATTTTGGGCCAAATTTTGGGCCAAATTGACCCGGCGACATCCCGCGTTTTCTGATGTTTTTGATGATTTTATGCCCCAACTCACTGCTGGGTGGTTTGGAACCATGGAATTTTATGACTTTCCATATATTGGGAGTAATCATCCCAACTGACGAATATTTTTCAGAGGGGTTGAAAACACCAACCAGCTCAACTAACGTATTTTTGGGAGTTTGGCATGACCCCGCGATTCATCCCCATGTCCCAAGCCAGCTAGCACTGTTGTATGGCAGGCAATTCATCCAGAAGAATGCAGGTGATGCCCCCGCAGGCAGGAACAGGTTTTATCCTTGCGTTTCATTGCTGACCTTGTAAATTAGTGTCTAGCAGGTAAACCGTACTTGAGGTGCTTCAAGGTTTTGCCGTGAGTTCTCACAATGGTTGGCTCACCTGAAGTGATAAAATTATTCTATAAATTCGGAAGGGGTGCTGTACAGACGCTGTTTATTTCCAAGGAAAAAATGAACAAAGATGCACACTTCACTTACTGGGAGTTTCAGTAGTATGTCCAGCTGGAGGGTCATGTCAACCCCAGGATGAAGAAAACCGTGGTATTGTTAGAGGCGTTTGGGATCGGTGAAGCCTATGATACGAAAACCTATACTATGTGGGACTTTATAAGGTTTATACCCATTAGGGATAAGGATTCCCATTGAGGGATGACAAGATCTCACATGATGACTCATATGCTATGTTTTTGGCCATGGCACATATGGTTCAATGGGTGCTACCCAAAAATCATTGATGTCCTCATTCAAAACGACAAAGAACATGGACTGTTTTGGGGTTCCCAATTTCAAGAAAACCTCGTCATTGGAGGTTCATCCCAGATAGTTAGTTTTTTTTAACCCAGTCATATCACCCGTATATAAACCAATTCTTGCAACTACATGTTTTCCTTATTACCAACACCAATAAACAACCATCAACCAAACATCGGCTTGAAGTAGCCCATAGAGCTCCATATTTTGGTTGAACACATTGGCGGTCACTGGTTCCCTAGGTGCGGAGGCCTCCGCGCCCGCCCCGGCGCCCGCCAGCTATGCGGCGCCGACGCAAGATGTGTCCGGGTTCTTTCCAGTGCCGGGGCTGCAACATGACGCCCTGGGGGTTGGGGTTAGGGTGGTCATTGAAAGATGTCGTAGGTATGCGTAGGTATACCCTCTGATAAACTAACATAGTTATGGAAAAAAAACCATTTATATTTATAGTAGGTACATGAATTATAAATGGGCCATTTTGAAGAGCCATGTTACACTACCAGAGGGTACGCATACTTAAAACATCTTAAAACCTAAATTCCGCTGCAAGGAAAACACAACTACGTACAGTACTACTGTCAATGCAACCTTTTTCGGGTTCACCAATCTTCATGGTCCCTTTGAGAGCAGTGCTACTTGAGGTGTTGCAGCCTGCGGTTTTCAAGGTCGGGCAACTGGACTTGCGGCATCAATCATGGCAATAGGAGATCAACAAACGGGAATCTAATTGGATTAAAAAGGCTTTATATAGTCCGAGAATAATGGGACAATCAAACATGGACCCAAAAAAGGAGGTTTATAGCCGGAAACATCATCGAACTAAATGTTGGATTTTCCAGCAAGCCATGTTTGATTGCCGGGGCGGGGTAGGATCACAAAGAAACAAGCAAAACAAGAATTGTTTTTCCCCCACCTGCCAGGTGAGGGCCTCTAGATTTTATCAAAGGTACTTGCTCCTCCTCCTCCTCCTCGTCCTCCTCCTCGCAGCAGCGAGCTCCAGATCTCAGTGGGCACTGCCGGACCTCAACCGCGAACTCGAGATCACAGTGGGCACGGATCTCAACTGGCCCAGTGCATTCCAGTGCCACATTGCGAGCTCGGGGGGCTGTGGAGTGGCCCTGGACTCGGTGCCATATTGCGAGTTCATGGCATGCCAGAGAGATTGGCAGAGAGAATAGCAGATAGAATGTCAGAATAGATGCCAGGTAGAATCCCAGAATGAATGTCTGAAAACATGCCAGATAGAATGGCAAATAGAATTTCAGAGTAAGTGCCAGATAGAATGCCAGAATAGACTGTCAGATAGAATGCCAGACAAAGTGCCAGAAGAGATGCCGGAAAGAATGCCAGATAGATTATCAGAAAGAATGCCAGATAGAATGCCAGAGGAAATGTCAGAATAGATGCCAGAAAGGATGCCAAAAAAAAAGCCAGAATAGATCCCAGAAAGGATGCGGACGTCAGAATAGATGCCAGATAGAATGCCAGAATAGAATGTCAGAAAATATATGCCATAAATACTTCCAGATGAGAGGTCAGAAACTATGACAAAATAGTGTCACGGTGGGGATCGCTCCAAGTAAAGTAATTGTGTCCAGATGGGGTTTGAACAAACTTGAGCACTTGATTATACGAAAAAAATGGATCTGTGAATGTACTACCTGTGGCCAACCATAGGTTCTGTGTCATTTGTGAACGGTATAGAAACCCCAAAACAGATCAAAATAGATAGAGCAGTTGGGCACCTGGAAATACGAGGTAAATATACAATATTATACAATCCTGAAAACACATTATTATTTTTTTGGGTGCTACTATATGTTACTATATAAATCTATTTAATATATTGTATATCCACATGAACCGACTTCTATCCGCTGGGTCGGAAGGAGGTTTTGATGATTTTGCAGGATGGAAAATTCGAGGCGCTCCAGGGGAAGATCCTGGAATTCAATGGTCAGGCCGGGCTCCGCTGGATGAGAAGATATGAGAAGTATTTCAAAACAACATGTTTGCCAACTTCACGGATTTTTATTTCCGTGTATATATGCGTATATTTTTGAGTGTTATTTAGCCGCAGCAACAATTGAGTTTCAACAGCTATTGCATCCATTTCCTCGGAAATTGGATCTGATGTTCTGGCAATCTTTCATCAAGGCACCAGTTTCTCGACAGGTGGAAGAAGAGTTGAAACTGGACCCCATTGAGGCACGGCTTTCGACGAGACCTGGCCTTTCCGAACGAACATTGCATGGGTTTCTTGCAAAAAGGGTGGGTTGCATACCTTGAAAAAGGGGTTTTCAAACAAAACAACTGACTACGAACACTGGCGGATTTGAGCTGGGTCTTCCAATCTGAGAAACATCATCATCATCATCATCATCATCACCATCATCAACTGGATAGCTAGCTGGTTCTTATAGTTCAAGTGATACCTATGATCCAAAAAAAAATCGCAAATCGAAGCAGCTCTCCAGTCACCTCTGCTGCAGGTGAATCACTTGACAGAGGGCATCTCCAAGCTGAAGATGGGGGTCTCTACTGAACTTCGCGATTGTGAAAAGGAGGCGGGTACCGTACGTAGCGGATGTGGTGATGTGGTTGGCCAAAAACTTACTGGTGCTAAACGTAGGGAACGGGGGAATGAGGGAATGAGGGAATGGGGAAAATGGGGGAAATGGGATGATTGTTAATGGTTGTGGATTGGATCATTCCTCCCATTCCCTTCGTTTAGATGTCGAGGAAACCGGTAAGAAAGTGGGTCAGCCCACCATACTTGGCAAATTTGTTGTTGGAGAAAATCATGACTATGGGACGACAAGGGGTACCGGGTAGGCCCATTACTGAACAATCCCATTGGATATGCTGAGTGGGGACCTCTGGGGATAGCGGTTGGTGTGACCAAGACGTTTATTAGGGAAAAAACAAATAGACATTAAAATATTGGGAAGTAATATAGCCTGCAAATGATGAGTATTTCTTGGATGGGGAGGCAGAATCAATATTGCTTTCTCATGAATTCTCTCACATTTGTCAGGGATTTCTCATCCGCACACCGGCACCTGACAAGAGCCGCAGATCATCGTCAAGAAACTGGGCAAGTGGCCCAACGACAAGCTCTTTCCGGTGGTCGATCTTTGGGTGCACCAGCCTGTTTTTGAAGACGGGGTTGAATTTGGAGATGGGTGAACATTTTGGACCGAGACACCTGCATGATATTGATTTTCAGAGTTATATTTTTATCCATCCAATGTTGGAAGCATTCAATTTGATCCATTTCAGGGTTTTCAAGGTCCACCTGAAATGGAGGTATGCTTGGCTAGGTTCTGCTAGGTTACTGTAACGCTTCCTGTTTAAGTCAAAAATGGACGAATATAATGCAAGATCTTGCCAGGCCAATCCATAATATGATGGGTCAAATTTACAGTAATACAGAGTAATGTAGCAGTAAAACATAGTAAACCATTGTAATTTAATGTAAGATGATATATGATTACATGATATACATGATATGATACCATATAGCATGTTCAAACATTGCCACTACGGTATAATATAATATATATGTATATAATTATATATATGTACACATAAATATGATATATATATAAATATATACATACATAATATATGTATATATATATATGATATATATATATACATACATCATATATATAATATATATATATAATATATATAATATATATATATATAATATATATAATATATATAATATATATATATACAATATCCAACCAAACACCAGCCATGTTTCCCATCCTTCCGCAGTGCGTTCTCTGGCCAGCGCCTGCTGCTCGCACACCCCAGCAGCTCTGACTTCTTCAAAGGACTGGAGCAGTGGGGGATGGCTTCAGGATTTTTATCGAAGTTTTTTCTTCAATCATCGAAAGTTCCAAAAAGCACATTATGATACATTATGGTTTTTGGAATGAAATAGAATGGGGCTTTCCATATTACCCTCTGGTTATGACTAACATAGCCATGGTATAGATGGCCCATAGAAATAGATGGTTTACCTATTAAAAAGGGCGATTTTCCATGTTTATGTTAAATAACCAGAGGGTATGTTTTTGTTTTTTTCTTCTAAACCAGCCCAAGGGTATCCAAGGCTACCTGCCGGAAGGCCGCACAGCAGGGAGTAAAAATTGTGAGGTGAGCCTGAAAGGGGCCGGACAGCATTTCCAGCGGCAAACTTCCCATGAGGAGTTTGGCATATTTGGCCTGTATATCCTGTATCACTTAAAACATCTTAAAACCAGGTGACTGCTGGACCCACTGCTAGCAATATCTATAGCAATGAGACATGAATCTACCTGATTCCATGGGTCCATGAACCAATGGGAGCTGCGGATTTGCCGAAGTTTCGCTTCCCAGGATCAGACAGGGGAACTGCATATATTCTGCAGGCTGGAGATGCTCAGATTGTAGGTGAGTTCCTGCCAATTCATCTCTGTCTCTTGCTACATCTTGCTACTAAGCTATCCAAAACACGCCATGTATGCCATACATCATCATACACGGTACAGGCCCAACCTTCACAGCTTCCACCTTTAAACCATCAACTTTAAGAGTTTCTACACATTTCCAAAAGCATGTGGAGGTTTCCTGAAATGAGAAAATTCCCCACATGACTATGGAACCCCCCATGTCTAAGTGGCTGCTGAACGAGTTGCAGGTGTTGAGCCTCCTGACTGTTGATATCAACAGCCCTTTGGGCCTTTGTGCCTCGAGAGCCTTGGCAGATGCTGATTTTTTGCATCAAGAAAAGCTGGTTAAAGCTGCCCTGTTTTCAGACCAAGCCAGATATGGGGGTTCGGGGTACCCCAAAATGGATGGTTTATAAGGGCAAATCCTATTAAAATGGATGACTCCATATCAGAAAGCCAGGCCAGATACAAGCCTTGGAAAATAGCAACTGTTCCATTGGATTGATGCCCGGTTTTCCAAGGATATTTGGCCAATCTATTCATCTACCAAACCAACAAGTGCACCTGTTGCAGTTGAGTTTTTCTGAACGGTCACGAAAGTTTGCAAGGGCCCACCAAAGATGGCCATTGCAAGACTGGGAAACTGATTTTCACCTAAGTGCCAGTTCAATAAACCAAACATGAATGGTTTCACTAAGCAAAGCATGAATAACCCTGGAGTTTTACCATGCTTTGCCCCATCAAAATGGTACTACCCATCCCTTCAGCCGCGACAGGTACGCCGCCTTCGACAAGCGGGACCTGGTGTTGAACGGCATTGAGTCAGCCATGAACTCCACCAACAAACATACCAAGGTGAGGCGCTGAGAGGTGGGTAAAATTCCTGACATTTTTACAGAGAAATTGCTAATGTTAGGACCTTGTGGTAACATGTAACATCATGTAACCTGGATAATGCGGCAATTCTCCATTTTGTTTGGTAAAACCCTCGATTTAGAGAAGGTTTTCCGATGATGTTTGATTCCCACTGGCCCTGATTGGGATTCCCCCGTCTTTTCCACCCCCAGTTTACCATGGAGCATTCACCCCAGCCACCCAGCCACTCAGCCGACCTCGGCAGTTAGCTTGTACCTCCGTGCTGCTGAATATGGCCATCATTTTGTACGAGAGCAGCCAACCAGCCTGGCCGGCCTGCCTTTGTAGCGCGATGCATGGGTGAATCATGGTGAATCCGCAATCGTTTTTCCCTTCTCTATCATTGCTGGTGCCGTGTCCTTTATTGACTTTCTTTCTTTTCTCTTTTCAATGTTATCAATGTTCTAGAGTTTATATATACGTATATAATCGTGTATATATATATATTATTATTATATATATATAATAATATATATATAATAATATATATATAATAATATATATATATATAATAATATATATATAATAATATATATATAATAATATATATATATAATAATATATATATATGTACCGACTTGATGGTTTTTTCCTCAACGTATTATTCTTTTTGAAGTATTCTGTTTAAAGTTGTTTTCTCTTCTATTCCCATGTCAAGCTCCCCAAGTTTGGTGGGCGCTTTCCATGGGTCAAATTGCCCAGCAAAACCATCACGCCAGCCCAAAGCCTTTGACGAAGCCACTGCGCAGAGAATCTTGCAGCTGGCGTTGAGCTTCTTGGGAAAGGCCTTCGGGGCGATGTTCGTCCGAAAATGTGGAGGTGCCGCCTTCCTAATGGCAATCTTGACACATTTTGATAAGAAGAAGATAAGTAAGATATAATAAGATGATACAATAAGATATAATCAGATATGATAAGCTATAATATGAGATTATAGATTTGATAGGTGATCTTAATTCATGCATGGGAAACCTGAATTGATCAACCTGATCATGCATGAAATTTTAGTGTCAAGCCCATGTTTATTCGGTTTGTTGGTTCCTTGTACTTGGGCTAGGCGCGCTAGGAATCCAAACTGAAGGAGATGCACGAATGTAGCAAAACTGCGATTTCGGCAAGATGGGAAGTTTTATTTTTCTATATGGTTCCCTTTCACAACCAAAACATGGCCATATGCAATATATGCAATGAATCTCCATTGGTAATCAAACTAACTGGTAGGAATTGGTTAAAACCATATTTGGTTTACTAGCTGCTACATGGTTTACCAGGCCAGGAATGGACCAACGACCTACCACCTGGGAACATTCTCAGCTTGGTTCTGCAGATGTAAGACCCACTATATTAGATGTGATGTTGCAGATTCAGCTATCAAATATGTACTGGGAATTTTATAGTATGAAATATGTACTATGAAATATGTACTATGAAATATGTACTATCAAATATCTATCAAATATCATATTCCCATTTCATTTGCGTGGCGAAACCAGGCCGAGGATGAAGATGCCAGGTGTCGCGCGATGCTGGCCGTTGGCTCGGGCTCTCAGAAACGATGTCGGTGCTGAACATGTCCAACGGATGATACGAGGGCTCTGACTTTCGGTACTCAAACAATGGGGCAACATTGGACGGAGATGGTCTTGATGTGACACATTGGCTTTCCGGTTTTTGATGGTTTTTGTAATCTCAGATTTGAGGATGAAATGGATTGAATTGGACAGTTTGCAGGGTGACTGTTGTGAAGATTCACTTTTCACTCAAAATCAAGCTGCATAGGTACACTCTTGACACGCGACCCTGCAAAGCGACCCTTGTCGGCTGCATGCAGAATCCTCAGCGCGCTGGGAAGGCGAGCTGAATTTGGCTAACCATCGAAGATCCCATGTACATCGGGGAAGAAGTACATTGAGCCACTGGCAGGATCCACTTACCTCTCCGAACAGTCTCCAGTCCAACATCGACTTCCAAAGATGGGTCAACATTAACACTATATATTCTTAAATACTCTTAATTCTTAATGATTCAAAGTCTAAATCTATATAATAATTACAATATATATATATATACATATCTAATGTTATTTAATGATATATAATATATATAATATAATATAATATATAATATATACATATGTATATTTAAAGGTATTCTCAAGATGAAGCCAAAAAACTGCCGGTTTCTTCCAGATAACCTCCAGGTACCATGGATTTCCGAGGTAAAGCAGGTGACCTCCCTGGAAAGATCAGTGCCCTGGAGAGCAAGGCACCGTGAGGGAATCCACCCAGAAATCACCAGACATTGGGATATATATGATATCATATATTTATACATATGTAGGCCTATATATATATATATATGAAATAACATGATATACATGTGATATAAATATGTATAACTATGTGATATGCCCAGATGATATGATTCATTATCATTAAATATAAATATATATATTTCATGTACTTGATACAAGTTTAGATAGGCAAGACTCCAAGACCAGTTGAAACCGCCATCCTGGACACTGTCTTTGTGCAACATGATGTAGCCGCCGAATCAGAGATTTTTTGTCCAACAATATTGGAATATATTGGGTTTGGAAGATGCTCTTGCTAGGTACTTTGTCATTTTTCAATGACATTTTTTTCCAAATGGAATGCTTGTATTCTGCGGATTCCCTGCCATATCCCTTGCATAGTCTTCTCTTTTCTGCTTTACATCCACTCAACCGTTGCCACCCATCAAACTGCTGCCCGTTTGGAACCACCGGGGCCGTTGAGACACCTCTAACCCAGCCAGTTGGGCGCTGCTGCTGCTGCGGACTTAAGGAAACTGCTGCAGTAAAAAGACCCAAGGGCAAGGATTGGTGGGATCTGACCACATGTTTGCCATGACGGAAAGGATAGACCACCACCTAGGGACCTAGGGACCTAGCAGTTCAAACGCGTTTCTTCCTGAATCTGCAACAACATATATATATATATATGCGGTTCATGGCTGTTGCTGTCGAACATTTGACCCCGTTTCGTAATTTTCTTCACATGTTGGTGATGTTTGCATGATTTCATTCAAACAACCATATGCATGTCCATGTTAGCGCGTTGGTTTGGAGTTTGATGGTTGTTCTCCTGATTTCGGGATGGGTCAATATTGGGTTGAATAGTACTGAAACATTCTTTTTGCTTGCCCTGGACGTACAAAAGCTTTCAAAATAGCTGATGAAATATGAAGAGGTACTTGCACGAATATCCCCACAATGCTTAAAATGTTTTTCTAACTGGGTGAAAGGTTTGCAACATGTGTTTCCGTGTTTTTTATTTGTGCCCAAGTCATTTCCTGGCGCAGTGGTGGTTGGAACGTTTGCCGCGGAGCAATGTCGCGACGTTCAGCCTCTTCTCCATGCACTGCGACGTCCAAGAAGGCCAAATTGGAAGAGCAATTTCCGCCCAGCCAAACATCTGAAAGCACGGGAGCGCAAGAACGCAATTTTGAAGTGGAGAAATGCGAGGTCAAAGAAGAAAGCTTTCAGGATGTCCCAGAGGCATTGCGAGTCTAGTCGCCTAGTTTGAGTTGCAAGGTTCTGTAGGTTTGAAAATGCAAGACCACCTAAGGAACTAAAGATGATTCAGTGCAAGAACATCTAGGAATTGTATGGAATTGTTTACATTTGTTTACCATCATTTTCCGCCCAGAACCAGTGAACACTTGACCACAACCCCCCATCATTTTTTGCAATTTCGTTTCATTCGGGCAGGTTGAGAGCTCAAAGACTCCGTCTCAATACGAAGTTTTCCAAAGTTCGAATTCAACAAAGGCACAAGTTGAAGCAATTGAGTCGAATCACTGGAAGAATGTCCTAACGGAAAAGCAACGGGCAGAATTTCGGACCCTGCCGGACAGCGTAAGATGTGAGATCGGTCTCAAGCTCAAGGGCAGTGATCGCGGTAAAGAACGCTTTGTGCAATTCTTTGAGCGGTACCTGCAGAGGGACAGACAAACCCATTCAGAATCTGACTATTACTTTGAGACCAAACCTGCTCAAATGCAAATGACTGGGTCATCCACCGGGTACAAAGTGAATGGGTTTCAGACAAGGATCTGCACTTCAGCACTGTACAATCGCAGCTTTGTTGGCACCGTTTTCACTAACAAGGAAGGGGCGGAAAATTCTGCTTGCCTCATCTTCTTTCTGGATGAAGAGGTTTCCCGCATCAAGGAGAAACTTGTACCAGCTTCGAAGAAAGTGCAGTTGTACGTTGCCAATAAGATCTTTGGGAGTGAAACCAAGAAACGGCTAGTAGAGCATGGTTTCATTTTGAAAACTGTGATTGAAGAGGCAAAGCAAGACTTGCTCAGGGCTGAGGGCTGCAGATCGGCACTGTGGGATGGTAATGCTTGACCAAGCAACGCAGTGCATGTGTTGGCTGTAGGTATTTGTAGTTGTTGATCGATGGTCAACGCCGCAAAAGAGGAGCATGACACTCTGTCGAATCACAAAACATGAATGCAAAGAGGAAACCTCCTGAGACCTCCTGAGATGGCAACCCAACCAGGGTTGACTTGAGGGGGTGACTTGCATGGAATCAACCCCCCAATGAGATGGTAATGATTTTGGGGAACATGATGATTAAGATTGATTCAGCAGTGGATGGAATATCCTGGGTATCCTCTTCAAAGGTGATACAGATACACCACCCAAATCCAGACACCATCCCCACTTTCACAAGAAATGGGTGGGATTTCAACCAATTCCACTTGGAGGACCTTCACTGTGTTTCATATCTCGGGCTATCTCCTGCCGGGGTGGGACATTACACAGCGGCCATCATCTGGCTACTGTTGAACCTCGCAGCCGCTGGTTTACTGCGGCAGATGCAATACCAATCGATTTAAACAGTTGAATGATTGAACGGGGGTCCAGCACTTGGGGTAGCTGCTGTATAAGCTGTGGGCGGCATGGTAAGTTTGACCAATAATTGTCCTAGTTGGCACGTCAAGCAAAAGGTCCACATGTAAAGGTTCCTTGGCCTATATCTTTGCATCGATGGTCAAACCCCACAGATTACCACCTATTTCTGTTTCCATTAAAGCAGTGCAATGACTGGACCGATACTGATCTACCCTTGGTAGACTGGTGCATGACTGATTGTTTCAATATTCAATAGTTTTTTCAATTTGCAATTATCCTTGGGATGATGATGATGATCCCAATTGACTTCATTTCTTTTGGGGTGAGTTGAAAGAACACCAGCCCAATCCTAATTTATGAGTGGTTATTGGTTGAATTGTTTGGCTACTATTGATGGTAAGAGTCTCTTCTAAATCCCAATTTTTCGGATGGTTCTGGATGGTTCTATTCCCCATTTCACCCCCCCAAAATGCCATGGATGCCATGGATCACAGCAGCTTCTCCCAGCCCCTGCGGGTGATGACTTGAGCCATGGCAGCGTTCTTTGCGCGAGCGATTGCGCCTTCGTTGGCATGCGTGGCGAGGCGGGGAGCTGCGGGGTGGATCGGGGGCCGCTGTATGGCGAGCAAAGGGTTTAGTTAAATGTTGCTAAAACAAGCATAAACCACCCAAATTATATCTCGATTACCCATGAAAATGGTAAAAATGCGTACGGTTTACTATTGCTTTACTATATGTTTTACTAACATTCATCACCAGAGTATCAATCAATTGATGACTGGTTTAAGGTTCTACACAGAAAAACATGCAGATGTATGAACCTTTGCATGTGAGGATAGAACATCTAAATGAAAAATGATGGTTGGCTGGTTAAATGATGGGCTCAATCCCCGGGAAATCCCTATCAGCCAACCAGTCGCAGGGTGGGGATGATTTGGGGATGGGTCATGCCATCTGTGCCATCTGATGCACAAATAAGGGACCCATCCAGTTTTGCACTTCATGCGAGAATAAGTGTTTTTTGCACAGATAGAATCGGATAGAACATTGTATTTGCACAGTATATACAATGGTTGATGGTTGGTGATATCATATCCAACAAAACACGGGTGGTTTTTGAATGCAATGATCTTGGGAACATGTAGTATATGTTTGGAGTGCACATCACTAAGTATGATATTTAGCAGACTACATCTTGTCTTAGACTCTCATTCCTTTTATGTTTACATGCAGTTGTCGAAAGGAACGGCAGAAACTTTGGGTAAACCTTGGTCCAGGAGGTTCAAACGGTGGTTTTCTTGGCCGTACATTATTCAATATCTGGTTGGTGGTTTGGAACAGCCACGTGGCCCAAACTTCCCCGCTTTAGTGTGGCTGTCCTTGCCAATTGGGTCGATCTGTTTCCATTTGCCATGGTCACTGAGATGAATCCCAGGGACTTTAGTGATGTTGCTAACGGTGGTATGGTTGACTTGGTGTGCTATGTCAAGGTCTTTGACGTCGAGCACGAAAGCCATTTGTTGATCAACAAAGTATCTGACCAATGCTTCATTTACTCTGGTTTCCTGGATGACGGTTTTCACTGTTTCACCATTTTTGATGCTTGTATGCAGACGCAGTATCCATGCCCAGTGGTTTGCCCTACCAAGAAAACAGCTGTTCTTGGCCACAGAAAGCCCACTTGGTCCAGTCTGCATTCAGTGATTGATCTGTGCGCAGGTTTCGGAGGTCTCACCCAGGGATCAGTTGCTTCTGGCATGGAGGTTTCCGTAGCAGTTGATCGCAATCAACCCATGATTGAGTTGCATTCGAAAGCCTCTAGTGCACATCATGTCTGCGGAGATTTTGGCCGCAAGGATGTTTTGACTGAGATCTGGCAACATGCAGGTGGGGCTTCTGTCCTCACGTCGGGGTTCAGTTGCCAGCCATATTCGAGACTCGGCGACGCCTTGGGCCAGTCTGATGCCCGTTCAGATTGCCTCACCAAAACTTTGGATGCAGCCTTGTTTCTGAATGCCCAGATCATAGTCTTAGAATGCGTAGCACCAGCTGCCCAGGACACCTTTGTAAAAGCTGAGATATCCAAGTTTGCCCAGAAAACAAAGTTTCACTGCAGCCAGACAGAGCTCCGCCTTGACAGGGTTTGGCCATGCCGCCGACATCGTGCATGGTGGGTGTTGACCTCGCCCGATGTGGGTCCTATCCAATTACAGGAATGGTCTGAGTTTTCTGATGTTTGCCAAGTTCAACATGTCATCCCTGAAGTACGCATGTGGTCTGAATCTGATGAACATGCTTTGTCCTTAGATGAACATGAGATGCAAGCCTTTGGGGTGGTTGACGGAAATCATGGCAAGTATCTGTTGAACCAGCATTCCAAATCGCCATGTGCCCTCCATGCTTGGGGGTCCCAGACCCGGCCCTGTCCATGTGGATGCCGTAAGTGGGGTTTTTCGACAGAAAGACTTGAATCAAAGGGTTTACATGGATGTTTGGTTCGCAGTGCGGTTTTGCCTGATGGATCGACCCTGATCCGTCACATTCACCCCAATGAAGCCATGGGTCTTAACATGATGGACCCTGTGATTGATTTCGGCACGGATGTACGTCTCACCCTGTCTGCTGTTGGTCAGATCGCCAGCCCGGCTCAGGCACTTTGGATCCTCAGTTTCGTTGTGGAGAGACTTGCACAGCTTAGGGGTCACCACTCCTTTGCTCCGAGCTTGCAAATTCAGGCTTATCGTGCTTGGGTGTTGATGCGATGCAGACTGGTCTGGCCACCATCAGTGCCAGATTGTGATTCCAAGCTTGGCTCACTGGTTTCCTTTTGGCATGCCCACAAAGATTTGTCACTGGCTGAATTACTTTATCCATTGAGATGGGATGGGGTCCTTCAAGGAAACGTGTGTATTGCTGCTGTTTTGGATCATTTGATCAGGACTCGAACTGGCATTCCTGTTCCCCTTTCTGATACTTCAGTTGTTGACCTTGATGACGAACCTGCCACCCCCTGGTTTGATGCCCCAACAATTTCGGATGATTGCTCTACTGCGGGATGCCTTGTTGCTGATTCATGCACTGTTGTGTTTGAAGGTACGAATGACTCCCCAATCCGTTTTCAGCCTAAGTGTGACTCCACGGTGGCACAGTTTGTCTCAGCCCAGAAGAAACTTGTGGGGGATTTGCACATTGGAGAGATTTTTCTCAATGGTAGCCCAATCGATGGCACACATGTCATGGAGGTTGGCCAGGTCATTCATGTCAAACTTTTGGCTGATGCAGTAGTTGAGAATCCACAAGTACCTGATGCTCCGGCTGACATTTCATTGACTGCCCCTTGGACACACCCAGTGGAAGATCCGATTGAACCTGTTTCACCTCCTCGAAAAGTGTCCAAGTTTGATGTTGGTGATTGTGCGATTCCGGTTCGAATGCCTGACCCGGATGACGGCTGGTTGGATGCTTCGGCCTTCTTGGGGCTTGAGGGTGAACAATTCTTGAAACTGAATATGCCGTCCATTGCCAACCCCCAGCAGCTTTGGTCCGTTAGGCATCAGTATTTCCGCACGACTGATCGACTTCAAATCCTTGGTGCACAAGGGCACCTATGGGCTGACGATGAAATCCGGTTTCACCTTGGAGCATTACAGCATGCATATCAGGAGCATCATGCCAAGCACACATGTACCAATCCCCAGTTGTGTGTTCTTGATCCTTTGATTGCCACTTCGTGGATTCAAACCAAAGGTTTTGATTGTTCACTTTGGGGACGTGATCACCCTGAAATTCTTGCCAAAGGAATCCCCATCATTACGGTTGTCCTTGTTGACAAGCATTGGATCCCTGTCTTTATGGCCCCAGTGAAAGACGTCCTACAGGTCCAAACCTGGGATCACCCTGATGCAAATCATGCTGAGCTTGACAAAGTAATCCATAGGCTTGCCACAAGTTTGGGTTTTTCGACTGCTCTGATTTGCCATGAACACCGAAAGTTTTTCACTTCGCACCTTTGTGGTGCTTTGGCCATTGCTTTCCTCCGAGGTGTTTTGATAGGTACTCAATTGCCGGCGACCGCTGATGAGGCCCACCTGTTTCACATCCGATTGAGGCAGATTTTCCAGATTGAACTCCAGCGATGCCAGATCACAAGGCGACCATGGGTCTGGGGTGCTGGAGATTGGGTTGACATGCCTGACCCCCCCAGACCACCGAACAATGCAGCCGTGTGTATCACTCGTGACCAGAGGATTGACCTCATCAACTCCAGAGGCACTGAAATGGGAGATGATGAGATTAGGTTTCACCTGTTGAATCTCCTCTCGCATCAGCCTGCTTCAGACATGCCACGAGACGTCATGAAGTTTATTCCTTTGGAGCCACTTGTGTACAGTTGCTGGGAGTCAATTGGACCCACCATTGCTGAGCAGTGGGCACGCGTGCATGTCAACATTCGAGAACATGGGCAACATGTTGTGACGGCCTTCTCGGTCCAATCGCATTGGGTTCCAATTTGGTTTGAACCTTCTGGTGACCATGTTCAAGTGCACACGTTTCAACCTGAGGAAATCAGTTTTGACAAGCTGCATACTGTTATTTCCTTTATTGTTGAGAAGTTGGGTTTCACATTATCGGCTCTTCATTGCATCCCTTCGGGTCTGCCAGAGCATAATTTGTGTGGTGCCCATGCTTTGTCCTTTTTGGCACATGTGATTGTAGGTATGCCACTGCCCACAACGGTATTTGACCTCCGGACATTGCACACAAATATGCGTGCGTCTTTTGTAGCCCATTTGTATGCGATTACGGAGACCCCGCAGCCTGTGATTTGGGGGTCCGGCCCCTCCGAGGCCTCTGACACATCACAGGAAACCCTGAATGCTGACCCTTTTGCGGTCAATTGTTGTGCATTTTCTGCTGCTCCCATCAATTGTGAATCAGGTCTTTGGGATCTTTTGTGTAGCTGTGTCAGCCGTCCGAACCCTGAGCTGCGTGCACAGGAAGCTGATGTCCGTAGTCAACGGGGTTGCATGATCCGTGACCACGCACAAGCCATGGGAGATGATGAAATCTTGTATCATCTTCAGCACATCATGCATTGTTTGCAGTGTCGTCCTGCTGATGGCCGTGAATTTGTGATTCTACCACCATTGCCTATTCATGAGTTGCTACAGGGGCACCCAGAACCCCTTCGTGAATGGATCACTGAACTCGAGACAAATGCAGTGGTGCCAGTCGACAGTACGTTTTCATTTTCTGGAGCGATCGGCACTGGGTGCCTGTGTGGATTTCCCCGGGGGTGATCACTATGTGTCACACGTTGCATGAGTTTGTTGATGATCCCCAGGTTCTCCATGACGTTTTGGATGCCATTTGTCATGAGATTGGGCTTGATGATTTTGTCATTCACCAAGTTCCTCATGGATTGCCCACTGAGTCTTTTTGTGGGGTCACTGCGGTGAGTTTCATTGCACACATTGTACTGCGAACTCCATTGCCCAATAATATTGATGAGTTGCACCGCAGAGGGTGGGCCATGAAACAAGTTTTCTGGCAAGCCATGCAAGTTCGAAGCCCCACACTCCCA